TTTAATTAGAAGGGTTAATCAATTTTTAAATTTCATTAATTTACAGGAATAAAAAGAAATGTGGTAGTCGTGATTTGTTAAGGTCTTGTGTGTAGAATTTAAAATCTTCCCTTGTTCGAAAAGCTTTTCGACTCACATATATCAGCTGAATATTCTTTTAAATCGAAGCAGTCAGCTCTAGACACAGGAAGGGTATTTTAAGCGTTTTTAATCATAAAGAAACAGCTTCGAAATCTATCATGAAAAAGCGAACGATACTGCATTCGACAAACTTAGATATATTTTAAAATTGGGATCTTCCAAGATTTGTTTCTGTTGTCGATTACTAAATAAGTAATTAAAGTTTAGTATTTTTACTATAGTAGTATTTTAAAGATATTTTTCGTCAAGTGTAGAAAGTAACTATGTATTTCAAAAACTAAATTAATATGCACCTTTATAATTTCTGTATTTCTTTGGGAGGCGATCTGATTTTTCATTCCAAATTCATGCTTGTGTCACGAGCATTTGGAATTTTACACAAGATGCATCGGTGGTAAATCTGTTGTATAATTATTACATTATTTAAAAAGTTTAAAGCAAGAATATGTGGCTTAAACCTGTTATTTTAAATAAATTAAAAAAATTAGGGAAAGTTCATTTAAAAAACTATTTGCCGCTAAAACAATAACGAAAGAGACACATTCGGCCTCAGACTATAAAATTTCATCGAGCGCATCGAGGTAATGAAGCATGCGAGAGGGAAATGTGTCTTTTCGTCTTGATCTAAACACAGTTTCATACACCACTAAAAGTTCAATAAATATTTGTAAAAGAAAAAAATAGTAGTTTATTACATTCGTATTTATGAAGTCTTTTACCACTAAAATTTTACGCTTTTTCGAGTGAAATATTTTGTAATTGTAGAAAAAAATAGTAATGCTCTTAGCTCTGATTAGAAGACTAATACACCCGCACTTTGAAATTTTGCATTATGTCTTAGTAAATTAATTATTCAGATTATTTATGTAGATATATTTAGTTCGCTCTGATATATGACTACAAAAGATTTTTTTATTCAACTCATTGGTGATTTATGTAATTTTAATTTTATTATTAAAACATGATTTTACCTGAAAGTCATTCGTAGCAAGCAAGAATTATGCAGTGACTGTAAAGTCAGTATCCCTATTCTACACGAACCTCGTTACACATTATTGCTCGTCGTTAATTTTCCGAAACATGTGTTCATCGTTGTGTAAAACTCCTGTGTAACTTACGATCTTGGCAAACTAACGATATTGTAAAAGTTTGATGCCTTTTAAAATAAATAATTTTAAGAATTCTCTCGGGAAGTTCGAAACGGCAGTTGCTTTTTAACATTATTTAGGTTATTTATATATGTTTTAAGTAAATTTTCTTACAGACACAAAACATTAAACAGTTATAGAAATCATTACTGGCATATAAGTTGCTCGCAAAATTTTAGTAAAAGTAGAATTTCTAACAAAATAGAATAGATGCTACTGCAGAGTAGAAACAATTGAATAGGTACGTGAAAACTGTGGCCATGCTCATGCTTTGTTGGACGTTATTTTATTTCCTTCCTGTCCGATGGTCAGTGACCTAAACTTGACAAACTTCACTTTCTCATTTGTCATAAATATCGCGGATTTAAATTTATTTTCACTTACGAAAAGGCTGTGTAACTATACGATAGACGCGTTAAAAGGACAGCAAAAAATTTTTGGAAAAATTGTAATCATATGTCAAACTCCAAAAAAAAAAACGTGGACGTTCCAGTGAAACTCAAACACATTTTTTTATTTAGCGCTGTCACGGCTTGACTTAAGTTACCCGAAAAGAGTTAAATAATAAAATATGAAATATGAATTTCCCCAGAATACTCACTGTTATTTGTGTCAGGTTGTATGTACCTACTATATTGAAATTTTGGTTACTCGGACATTATCGATTATTTCCAAAAAAAAAAAATGTTTAGTTTTTTCAGACTTCTGAGCGTATTGAGTAAATTTTAGAGACTTTAATAATAATATATACATATTACATAATACATTTTCTTACATGTAGGTATATTACACACTACGAGTAATTTGATTTTACTAGGTGGAAACAATATACAGTTTGCTAAAAAGTGTATAAATATTTCCAGAATTCATTGAAATTTGATATAGAGGTAAAAGTATTTAACTCTATCCTCTGAAATTGAAATTTCCATCAACAATTATTTTGTTATGGAGTACAAGGCCGACTTAATTTTTTTTTAATGACACGAGGGGTCAAATTTAATATTTTTAAAAAAGGTATTTTTTCTACATTCGGCCTTTCTTTATTTGCACTAAAAAATAAAAAAAAATGTGAAATTTATTTGGCCTAGGAAATGTTGTCTTTATGTATCATTAGTTCTTTACCACCTGTGCGTTGATGGAAAAATTAAATAAAAGTTAATAATAATTGGAAAAAATGTACATTTAAATGAAATACAACACTTTTTAATAAAAAAAAACTAAAGCTTATTATTATTTTAATAGCTTTTTTTGAATATTGAAAAAAATGCTTTTAATGCTTTATCCATACTTTTTAGCAACCCTGTACACTGAATTTCACAATAAGTGTACTAGAGTCCTCACTTTAAAATTATTACCAACTTGAAATTTCTTAACTCTAAAAATCCTGTCGTCCTTTTGTAATGGATCTGTTAGGATGAAGCAACTTATTCAAAGTTCTGCACTTTCCAATTCCTACAGAAGCATTGCAACGGGATCACTTTCGTAATGTCACATACCGTGTTTTATCGAGTGTGTTGTCTAAATTAATATAAATATTTATCTCCGCCAAATAGATGATGATTGATGACATTCTCTCAAAAATATTAAATAAATCTTCAATATTTTTTCTTTCTTTGAAATTACACAGAAGATCGCACAAAGGAAGTAATTGATCGGTTATCTCTATCTGGGAACAGGGTTTAATACGACACAATAGCTTTATTGTATTTATTAGTGTTACATTATATGTATCAAAATTGTCATCACAAAATTGCAACTCTTGAGAGTATAAAAGATTTATATTGTTATGCTGTGTTCTAAAAAAAATATTTGTTAATAAGTTAAACATTTGTGGAAACCCATTTACTTGTATAATATTCAGTTAATTCAATTACGTTTAAATTAGTTATAGAAACCGTTCACTAAGAAATAACGTTGTGTAAGAATACTGAAATTCTAAGAAATTAGGTGGAATGATGAGATCAAGCTCCATTTAAAATGTTTTTGAACAAGAAACCCATCAAAGTAATTTCCTGCAACTCTCCAAAGGATACAGCGCTCGAAATTAGTTTTCTTTCATGACTAAATTCTACTATCACTTTCGTTCTCCAGAGTCTCAATTTTTATTACACATATACGTCTTCCCTCTTTGGACTATTTCTTATGATATTCATGGTTCCGCAAAAATTTAAAATATACAGTTGTGTTCGTTGATAATTACTGATTAGTTGATTACTGATAATAGTACTTAAGGAATTCACATGTTTTAAAATGTTTACTAATGCGTGTAGCTGCTAACTATTCGAAGAAAATAAGTTATCTAACGAAACAATATATTTTAACAATAGTAAAATGTAACATATTAGTTTGAATCTTTTCATTGTATTATCTGGTTATACGTTGAGAGACCCTTTATTCTTTACGATAACAAAAAATTGCTGCGAGTTATAGAATAAATCTGTTGCTATAAATTGTGTTGCAAGCAAGAAACATTGTGTAGATAGAATTTGCGCTAGTGTATTGAGCGAAGGGTTGCAGCTAAATGTTATTAGGGAAGAGTGATAGATACATTCTGGTCCCACTTTATTCAGCCTCTGATATGCGAGACATCCGTTCAGTCTCTTCGAGTATTTTATATTACTTGTCGTTTTCAATTTTTTTCCATCTCGGCCGGTAAATCGTCTCGTATTTTATTCTTTTACATGATATTAGCTCTATTTTTCTCAGAATGTAAGAAATGTTGATTCTCTTCTTTTTAAGTTTTTACTATAGCATATCTTAGGAAATGGAATTGTTTTTTTTTTATATTTGTGAATTTTAATTAAACAATTATTCCAGTAGTAATACATACAGTGGTCTTGTTGTGTAAGCACTCTATGATTTGGATTATTATTTATAATTTACTTAAAAGAAAAATATTATGTACTCGCTTAATAACTGACTGTGCTACTTAAACTGTGCGCATTTGGATGATGTTAAATAAAATACTAAAATTTGTTTATTTATCACCTATCGAAAATCAATGTGTTTCGAGATGCTACGTTATGTGCGTTTTAGTAATATGTTTTTTTTTTCAGAACTGTATCTACAGACTGTGTAAAAAATTAATAAACAACGTATTTGATTTTATTGACTAAATAAAAAACGGTTATCTAATTTGCAATGTTCTGGGAACACAGTACATACTACTTCTTTTAGTGTATAGACACTGCCACAGAAAAAATATATTCCCTGAAATTTTTTTTATAATTTATCTAAGAATAAGCTGAATTAGTCGAATTTAACGTCCATTGGAAGGTGATTGTGACAAAGGCAAAATAAATAAAATGTGCGACTAACTAATACTAGTATAATAAAGTATATATGGACAATAAGGTGTAATACTTGTAATCTTCAAATGCTTATAGAGGTATTTATTGTTAAGCAGAAATGTTGAAACATTTTCGTAAAATTATACCTATGAGAAGTAAATTCTGTTGACATGTAGAACCTCTAGGGAAGGTAGGGATGAAAATGTCAGCCGTCGAGAGCATTAGATCTCTTAACATCACTAATACGATTTAATCCATCACCAATCATCCCGTGATTTCCAGACCAAAGGTTCTTTGTCGTACGTACTAAAACAAGCTTTGTTCCTACTTGTGTACTGTCAAGTAATTTAGAAAATACGTAGTAGTGCAGTTTTTTCATTGTTCATTTTCTCTTTTCTTAAAATGCAATTTTGTCTTTCAGGAGGAGATCCTTCAGGTGTTATTTGTCCCTTGGGCATGTTTAGATGTCCTGAAGGTAAATGCATTCCAGCCATATGGGTATGCAACTACGAAAAAGACTGTGAAAAAGGCGAGGATGAATTTCAATCATGCTGTAAGTATTTCTTTCATTAAAAAATTTGCTCCAAAGTTGTTTCGACAGAACATCCCTCATCCCTGAAGTACAATACAATTCAATAAAAAAGTACAAATATATCCAGCATTTTCTAAAAATTATAAAATTTGATTTTGCGAATTTTATTTTTTTTTATGCGAACCCCTATATGTTAAAATATAAATATGTATTGTAAAAATATATGTAAGGAAGCATGCCACGCGCATATTTCAAAAGTTTGTGATCACGTTATCAACATTTTTGGAAGGACACACATATATATTATATCAATTTGGATTGGTGCAGTGTTATGCTAATAATAACAGTATTGCATTTCCAAATTTTCGCGAAAATGGAGTGAACCGTTCTTGATTTGATCAATAAAATAAATTGATTCATTCATTCATTTTTTTGAGCCACCTGCATAAGCAAATCTAAAAAATATGAATGTAGTGATAAATCACAAGTATACATAGAATGATAATATTTTGGATTTTTTGTGAAGGGAATAAATACGTTGATTAAAGATTTAAAACGTTTGCGAGATTTCAAAGCATTCGGTTTTGCAGTTCCTGATTTATTTAATATAACAAATTGACTTATTCATTTTTTTTTTGTGACTCTGTATAAACAAATCTAAAAAATATTAATGCAATGATAAATCCTAAATATGGACTCATCATATTTTGCACATTTTAGATAGCTGCATTTATTCGGCAAAATTTTGACATGACGTCATAATTTTTTTCGGGGGATAAACACGTACACATTAAAACATATCAGAAATACAAAGTTAATTCTTCAAATTTGAAGTTTAAGATTTTCAAAAATGTGGTTTAGGGGTTTTAACCATTTTTTTCGAGTTCTTCAGGGCCTTCTTAACAACTTTCATCACCCTGTATACAATCAATTTAAATTTTTGTTCTTGAGGTACCCATTTAGATCATCTCAAACTTGACATTTCAACGTTTCCCCCCCCCCCCCCCCCATACCAAGGTGGGTCAGGTCAGGTCAGGTTTGATTTTACGAATTTTATTTTTTCTATTATAGCTCCTATAAATTAAAATAAAGATATTTAGAGTGAATTTTTCCAATATAAGATTTTGTGATGACATCATCAACATTCTAGCACGAACCCGTATATCATTTTGGATCGGTAAAGTATAATGCTAACACTAACACTACTATATTCCCAAATATTCTGAAAAACTGGATGAGCCATAAAATATAAAATAAATTGCCTCTTAAACAGAACTTCTTACGCTTCTGAAGTACAACCAAATAGATCTAGTTGCTTTAAAATGATAAAATTTGATTTTTTGATTTTTTTATGATATGAGATATGTGTTGATTAATTATTAAAGTACATATAAAGAAGCATGCTATGATTTTTTGTGATGATGTCATTAACTTTTTATCAGAGACACATGCCAATTTGGTCAAGTACAGTGAAAATGTACTAATAACAGTAATGTATTCCCAAAATTTCAGCAAAATGAGCTTATAAATCGTTCTTGATTGAATCAATAAAATTAGAAAATTGCTCATTCATTAATTTTTTGAGTTACTCTGTATAAGGAATTCTAAAAAATATAAATGCATTGCTGAACCATAAATGTAAAGCCATACTATTTTGCACATTTTAGATACCATTTTTAGTCAGTTTGAGGTAACGTGATCAAGTTTTTGGATAATTATTATAAGTACAAATAAATTTTGATTAATTAAGCATTTACTATGCTAACGTTGTATAACAACTTGCAAACGTTTTCAGGTTAACGTAAGTATAATAAAACCTAATCAAAATCTATCCGTTTATCTCCTCCCCCATTTCTAACATCATGTCAAAATTTTATTTTCCATCGGTAAAATATGAAAATTAAAATTTTGCCGAGCATGCCAGCGTTTTTCAGCCGCAAATTTTCCTGTATTTTCCGTAGTCACGGCAACCCATTCAACAAGCGGTTGCCATTGTGCCATCTGAAAATACAAATTTGAAAAAATTTACAGAATATACAAAAATAACGAGTCCAGATCTTTGTAATTTAGCAATTTAACAGCTGACAGGATTATTGTATTAAACAAAGTGAAAAAAATTGGTCGAAGCTTATTTCAGCATAACTTCCCTCGCATTTGAAATACAGTACAACAAATTCCGTTTTTTTGAAATAAAAATTTGAATTTGCATTTCTTTTTTGTGATAATCTCAATAAAACAAAAACCAGCGGCGTAAATGAAACCCCGCGGGGCGCAAATTCCAAGGGGGCGCGATCCGCACACAATATGAAATATATATTTAAAGCAGATAACCAACGGCAAAAGTGTAGTTATCTGTGTACAGTGTACTGGCCGTAACTTCGATTGTTTATATTTGTACATCGAAAAAACGTCACAATTAGCACGTACGAGTAGCAATTGTTAAATCCGAATGGGTTTGTTTCCTCAAAACAGAGACCAAAAATTATTAATTAAGCCACAATGGAGCAAAATGTTCTAAATATTATTATCATAATTCTTATTTTATCATTACTAAAAGAGACGGGCGCATTCTCAGATTTTCGAGAAAATATGGTGACTTGTTTTAAATGTATCAATACAAAATTTGAGAGTGATCCATTTTATTAAACTTATTTTCACCTAATAAAAACAAAGACGTGCTTCCGGCTGGTGTCAATCGCCGGAGCTTGGATTGATAGCCTGATGTTCTATCACGCTATCTGTTACGCAGCATCGTACTATGTGTCTAAAGAACAAGGCAGATTAAACGTAAACAAATTTAATAAGAATAAACAAATTTTTGATGACGATGTTTAGCCAATTTTGGTTAGCGTTTTATCCGGACAAACGGCAGACAGACAGACAGGCAGATGGAAACGGGAGACCCATTTTTTCGTACTTTTGGGGTCATTACACGTCGAAAAAAAATGAAAGTAGTCAGTCGTCTAATGGAGTCGATTGCAATACTTCCTTAGCTTACGCTCGGGAAGTAAAAAGTTTAGGTATGGCAGCAGTTCACCTGTAGCACTGTACATAGCGAGGATACGAATTATTCTCCACAACGACTGCAGATGAAATAGCAAAAATGCTACAGGATTGAAGGTTCAACAAGCGGAACAAATGGAGAAAATTATAAGGAAACTAGTGGAAAATCCAGGTGGAATACAACAGATTTCATGTGGTACAGGAAAAGTACTCTAACGAGAGTGTCACAATAAAATCAATCCATTTTCCAATGTTTGTTTTAAATAAGCAAGAAAAACGCGTAACGTAAAACGAAAAATGTTCAAGATTGTGAAACTAGGTAGTAGTTAAAACTTTATCTTCAGCTGGACAGTGATTATCATGAGATTCTAATTCAAAATTGGCGAGGGAACAGAACAAAAATGATTTAGTGCCACAAAAGGCTGCCTTTCAGGAAGTTGTGTCGAGAACTACAAATTAATGTAAATGGGCAGAATGTTTGTTATTCTAATTGTGCATTTCATGTTCATAATAATGTTAAATAAATGTTTTATACAATAAAATCACTTTGGTTGTCTTTCCTTTCATGAAATAGCCGTGCCGAATACCATTCGTTATGTAATTTTTCCTGGCAAAATGTAATGATTATTTATTATTTTATTCGAGTTTGTTGCTTTAGGCAGTTTAGCTCGTGACATTGACAGAAAAATCACTCGGCTAACGACTCGTAATTTTTGTCTGCAATTTTACCGGTAAAATTACATTTCTCGTGATATTAGGTATATATAAACATATCATCTCTAAAATATTCAAAAATAAATTTAATATTATGAATTTATACTTTTGATTTGTTAATGCATGCATATTTTTTAGAATTGCTGAAACCTACAGGCTCACTTTTTTCATTGAATTATAAAATGCGATTATCAAAAAGTGTATTCAATTTGGCGTTAGATGAGCGAACTGTCTTTCTCATCGTGTCACCGTCTACTACGCGCAATCGGGAATCAGTAAGGCAGCTAAAATTGCAGCCTCAAATTATGGAGCACCGACCATTCTTGTTGAACGCACGTTATTTATTACAAATGTGCCGTGCTCGATACTTATTAACCTGGCTCACAGCAAACTGCAGATTTACTGAGTTAATTTTGTATTTTCAGGATTTAACATAAGAAGACACTGATTTAAAATACAGCTGTATTACGTTGTGAGCTTTATTGATTTTTAAAAAGAACCGTTTGTATAAAAATTAGCAAATATTTGTGAGGTATTTTTCAGAGATAAAAAATTGGTTTCTTAGTAGCAGTAGGAAATTCAGTTTATTTTCCTCGAGTATTTGAGTTCTTTGTCTCTTGCTTCTTGGAAAGTTTTTATATGTGTTTAATGTAAAATGTTAAACAGAAAAATTTATGTTATTTGTAAATAAAATACAAGAAATTTAATACAGAGCTTATTACTATTATCGTAAGAATCCGTATGCTATTGTTTCATCATCTGATAAATATATATTTTTTTATTTGGTTTTTGGTAGTAGCAGCTTCAGACTTGTGCTTCGTATTTTATATTTTTCTCATTAAGACAATGTAGGTACATTTTAAATGTGACTAGTTCACGATTTGACTAATCTACTGTAAACTAAACCCAATGTAGCTTAGCTTTGAACTCAATATACATCAAATTAATCAGAACACTTGACGAAGACAATTTTTTAACCATTTGTTTAATTTATTGTAACACGTGGTGTAAAATTTTCACGTCAAAATTGTTGCATGCATAAGCACATTAAACGACCTATGCGAACAAACTAGACCACACAAATTTCTGGATAGTATAATTTCGTTTAAAATGAAAGTGTTATTTTATTGAATATAATAACTTGAACAATTATCCCTTTTTTACAGCTCCACCAGATTGTGAACCTGGTCAACTTACTTGTAGGCAATATATCTGGAATAAAACATATTGTATTCCACCCCATTATCGCTGTGATATGACTGTCGATTGTATAGACGGATCGGATGAAACAGAATGTAGTAAGTATACTAAATAAGTATATAAGTATAAATTTAATTAATCCAGAGAAGGTTTGAACTTCAATGTTTTTTAATGTGGTGCAATTAATTAAAAGAAAAACATAAAAATACATAAAGGTACCTAGAGTGTTGAGAGGAACGTCTATTCTTAGGAAACTGTAGTTTTTAATAGTTTTTATCTTCAGTTTGTTGAGAATACCCGAATCTTAAAAAATATCTGAAAGGGAATCTATTATTAATTTTTATTTTAAACGTTTGTTAACAGTACCATAAAATGCCTAGTCACGCTAATCTATTCGATTTTATTGTTTTTATTTATTCATATTCCGTTAACAGTGTTTTAGTTTAATGCATTTACGCACATAAATTTTATGAAATAAAAATCCTGTGTGGAAATTACGACTATCGAATTTATAATGGTCGTGTGTGTATCACAAGGCCAAAAACTAGGCTTTTGCGAATACGAGTGAATTTATCGGGCCGAGTATAGACGAGGCCTGCAAATAATGACTATCGCAAAAGCATGTTCTGGACGAGTGATATACAAGATTTTTGTGCCAATTTTTATACACCCTGACCGACAAAAAAAACCGGCCACCCTGAAATTTAGCACTGTTTTTAGTACTATCCTAAATTAAATTTAATTCTGTATTTATTTATCTCCTTTATTAATAAAATAACAATCACTAGTTAATTTAACGTAAGTTAATTTTTTTTTGCGAAATAGTTCACAGTGATCGTTTTTTTGCCGGTCAGTGTAAATAAAATTGTTATTGATTAAATTGTTTTTGATAACTATACAGATGAAAGAGTGGTTGCTAAACACTTTTTTCTATTCTTTATACGATTTTTTTTTTATATTACACAGATTATTTACTTTATTTATTCTTACAATAACGTGTTCGTATTGTTGTTGTTGTTGTTACCTTAAGTCGGGTATTCTACCTCAAAATTTAGAGAAACTTATTGCAGAAACGTCCACAGATAACCCACTTATCGATGACAGAAATGATAATACCAATTTATATCGAAAATCATTAAAAAATGCCTCGGTTTTTTCCTGACTAGTCCGGCAACAAAAAATGTTTGCTTTCTGGGGGTTCGAAACGTACGTAGTACGTACCCAGAGGCACAAAATATTATGTTTTCATTAGCAGCCATGAAGCATGCAATTGTCGACTTCTTTCGAGATAGTGAAGTTCAACTTTACTACCAAGGTTAAGAAGGAACATATCTATAAGTTATGTAGGAAACACATTTGATGTAATTATTTCCTAAAATGAATAAACGTATACAACTCACATTACTTGAGTATACGCAATTCAATTACGCATGGTAGTTGGTAGATGATGGAAGATAAAAACAATTCAGCGACAAGTTTAGTGTAGACGATTTTCTTTATTTTGAAGATTTAGGTTGGTTTTGATTAAAAATCAAAATAAAATCACTTTCCGTTAAAAAATTGAAGGTTCACTTTTTCAATTTTTTGTCTTACGGTTTCTACTGTTGAAAAAAATTGTATATTATCCACGTTTGTGAAGCCAATTCTTACCTCGCGCTTTAAAGCCCTCGACAGGGCCGGCTCAACACGGTAAGCGAAAGATGCACCGCATCGGGGCGCTCGTGACAAGGGGCGCTGGGCGCCGCCTATGCTTTTATATTAACTCGACAAAAATAAATTAATATTAGATTTGCATTGAATCACTACGTACAAAACATTATAGCAGGAACAGACCAAGGCGCCCATCGAAAACTTTTCAGAAAAAGCTACATTTTAACATTCCACTATGAGGAGTGGTTCACCAAAATAGGTCCTAAGAAATCAATTCCTGGCACTTTCTGACTGTAATAATTGAAAAAGAATGCGCCTTTGGGCTGGGTAATTATACTTTTAGTTCAATACCGACAAAAAATAACCATCAGATTTATGATTGCATTATCTGGGTAACAATTTGACGAGACAGCGGTGTGACCAAAACCAGATGTTTTTTTTAACATTTGTCACGTTTGTTTTTACCATAAAACTCCATGTTGGCACATACTTAAAAAAATTATTTTCCAAGTCTAGTCGGCTGGTTGTGGCAGTTGTTCAACAGTTTTGATATATTTTTCATGGTTTTGGTTCTGTGTATCATTCCGTGGGTCTTTGTCATCATTAATTTTAAATTTAAATTTCGATTAACACTGAGGTGAGTCTAAAATAAAAATAACTTTGAAATAGTATCAATTTGTACAATATTAAAAATTGAGAAACTTTGGCAATGTAATAGTTATTTATGTTACAAGTGTCGAAAACGGTTCATTGCATTACGAACGGGAATACGGCGTGAGACACAGTCGAGCGCTGTATGTAAGTGCAATGGAGTTTTCACACACACACACACAGTGAACCCGTCTAACTTAAAAACTCACGGGATTCCTACACAAATTTTCATCCCCTATTTTGTCCCCGTAGGGGAGGAATTTCCAAAAATCCTTTCTTAATGGGTGGTTATGGCACAAAAGGAAGCTACTATCCAAATTTCATGTTTGTAGCTTCAGTAGTTTAGGCTTTGCGTTGATGAATCAGTCAGTCTGTCAGTAAGGACAAACACTTTTATACCTATACTAGCGTTTAGAAGACACAAAAGTTGGTAAATAGCTGTAGTTTATAGTTACTTATGTATCAAGAATAGGTATTATGAAGCAGTTGATAGTTCGCCCGAGGGTATAAACTTTAAATAATACCCGTGATAGATACAAAATTTTATGTCTGACCGTTTAATTTTTGATATTTACAAAAAAAAGTCTACATTTACTATCTCGGACTTTTCTTTAGAACTTTTAGAGGGGAACAATTTCATCATACATGATTTTTACGCAACTTTAACCGTTTAAGCAGCGTAAGCAACGGAAGCTGTCAAAGGAGGAATGATTTTCCCGTTTTTCCGAATTTTTCATTGCTACTTCGCTCCTATTGATCGTAGCGTGATGTTATATAGCCTATAAGTAGATACGATAAATGGACTATCCAACACAAAAAGATTTTTTGAATTTGAAGCAGTAGTTTCTGAGATTAGCGCGTTCAATTAAACAAACTGTTCAGCTTTATAATATAAGCATAGATTAAGATTGATTCATCATAATTTCATCTATGTTTGTTACTAAAAAGTATCTCTCCACAAAAAAAAAATGTGATTACAAAATTTTACTTGTTTTTTTTTTACAAAAATTTTTTAGAGGGCGTTGAACAGTAAGTTGCATCGGGGCGCCTGGTCCCTTAGAGCCGGCCCTGGCCCTCGACGCTGCGCGTCTCGGGTTTTAATTTGCGCTCGGTCTAGAATAATTGTCTTCACAACCTCGGTTAATAAAAAAGTTACAAATTTAGTAACTACTGGTAAGTCATAACCATACTTTGCATACAAATAATTGCAAACTGCAAATACGGTAAAACGTTGATACGGTCAAGTCATACTTTAAAAACAATAATGGAAAAACTTACTCCAATTTAAGTTTAACCGATGCGAGTAACACATGCTCTGAGTTTATTAAAACTATACTTTTAAAATTTAATGTTAATATATAATTATAAAACCGCGCACAGAAAAACTTGGGTTTAATTAACTAGCTTATATATGAAGTCCATCTTTCGATTTTTTTGTTGTCATGGTAATTTTGCATACAATTTTAAGAAGTTTCATGGTTTCGGGAAACACTGAGGAAAGGTTATTTTCCATAAAAAACCGAAGAAGCAACAATGCTCCTCCAGCAGTTTGCAAATCATCCCTGTTGTAAATAGCGAACAATTCTCCTTTTAAAATTGCTGCATCTAACTGAAATTTGCTTACTGTAATTTGAAATTTATCTTTGGGGAAGGTCATTTAATAGTCCTTAAAGGCTTGGGTTAAAAAAAAGGTGTGAAAATGACAAATAATAATAGTTTTTCTGACGAAATTATAGACAACATATTAAAAAAAGAAAATCTAAAAAATTAAATAACCACTAGTACATATGTCCATTAATTAAAGAAACCACGCAATACAATAGCGTAACATATTTTGGAAAATCATTTGTCAAAATTTCAAAAATAGGTACCGCAAAATGCAGGCTATAGAATAGCTTTCCGGTCTAATGATTCTTTACTTAAGTTAATAATTAACAATAGTAAAGATAAGTCACCTAAAAATTCGAATTTTCGAGTCTACATGTTGAGCCGTTGCGATTCTCTTTTGGTATACGTTGGACAAACCCAGAGAAGATTTGAAGAAAGAATCAAAGAACACAAGGCATCATACATTAATAAAAAATCAAATTCCACGTTCGCAAAACACTTAATTCAAGAAAAACATAATTTTAACGACTTTCAAAATTTTATACGTGGAAAATAAGGGTTAAAAATTAGATTCCTTAGAATATTTAGAAATGAGTAGGTATAAACAGACTTAATAAATTAATGAAAGACCAAACGGGGATAAGAAAATCACCTTTGTTAAAGTTAAGTTGTAAATTCTTTTGTTAGTTTCAGGTATATAAACAAAATTATCTTTTGCCTGGAGACCATACTGTGTACCAAAACAAGTGTAGTAGTGGCTACAAGTAAAATAATTTACTTGTTCTTCACCTGTAAACATCAATTTACCAAATCACTGTATTCAACATGAAAATGTCACTTAACTGGCTATAGCCTGTAAAAATTTTACTGAGCCAATAAAATTTTTACAGCCCTGCTCGTGCTCATACCGCCATGTATTTTAAACATTTTAAACTATTATAAGTTGAAATGACAGCCAAAATTGATTCAGGTAAATTTTTACTCACAATTGCTGCTTCCTCAGTAATATAGCTTGCGCCACACTCATTTCAATACATCGAAAACGATAAATCGAAAAATCTAAATGACAGAACTAGAAAACACAGTAAATACTATGACAAGTGCCATGCTGACGTGCGTTTCCAAGGCAATACGTCTAAAGCTCATACGATGTTTCTACAAATATTAGACCTTCTAGAGATTTTAATAATTTATAATAGTTATTTACAAGTGAGAAACAAATAAAATATTGAACAATACACGCAAGGTAACGAGTTTTTACTGGCTCCAGAAGGTGACTGGCTCGCCATCCTTCTGTCCGCCAGTAAAAACCCCTTTACCATGCTAGTAATGTTAAATACTATTAAACCCTTTAAAGTTTTTTACTTTACTAATTAAGTTAATACTGTTTGAGGTGGCAAAAGAATTAACCAATTCTAAGAGATTTTTTTTGCGCTGCTATTGCTAAACCTGATTCAAATGCTTAGCGCTTTGTAACTTTGGCGCACTCAAGGAAGTTTGGTTATGACATTTTAATAATTTAATTGATAACAAATTTTTACGTAAATTGAGTGACAAGTCTATCACCTATTAATCATGTTAAAAATTATAGACAAATTCGATAAAAAAACAGTAGTAGTGATCATATTAACTTTAAAAGTGTCAATAAAATTTTTTTGAAAAATAAAAGTATTTCAACTTTTGCCGAAACAGTTTATTTTGGTAGCAAAATTAGTTCAAACAAACGTTACATTCGAACGATTTGGTTGGTATTTTGCGATGAGGAGTAATCATCAGTTCATAATGTAAAGGAAACTTTCAACTTTCCAAATAAACCATATATTCAAGAAACTATTTCTATATTATTTATAAATAGAGACAGAAAATTAAGTTTTAGATCTGATATCTCAGATAATCGTCTGGTAGGAATGTAACTAGAAATAATTAATATTCACTATTTAAATAATTATGTACTGCAATTACTTAATTATGTAGAACTACATTAGAAATGGATAGTGCATGCCATGCAACCATGTGTTATATTAGTCCTTGTCTTATTGTTAATTTTTAGCAGGTATAAGTTTAAAAGGCAAGCTTATGCTCAGGAAGTAAAAGATATATTTTATAAGAGTTTAATTGGAGTGTTTTCTAGAATCAAAATTCAATAAAATATGTATGTTAAATAATTACACAAAATGAGGATGGATTGGTTGCTTACTTAGATCTGAATGGTTGAATAGCAGAAGATTTCTTGTTACTTATCGTAAAGAAAAAAGTATGCAACAACTTATTTGAAAAGATATCATTTAGCAGAATCACGTCTCAGACTGCCGAATGTTTAAAATTAAATAATTCAAAGAGTTATACCGGACATATGTTTCGACGGACTTCCGCCACGTTATTACCAGACAAAGGATTGAATCTTTCAGATTTAAACCGTCATGGCGGATGTCGATCCGATGTAGTAGTAGCAGAAGAAAATGTTGAAGAATCAACTGAGAACACAATCAAATTAGCAATTAAATTTTGTTTGTGGATGAAGTATATTTGTAGTGAATACTGAAAATGTCAACTCACTAGTATCAAATACACGAACAACGCTAAAATTACTACAAATAGATATACTTAGTGCAGTTAAAGAAGATAATTGGAAAAATCTCCTCATTAGAATAAATCTAGGTGATAATTTCAAGTCTAGGTTTTATTTTAATAAATAACTGAATTAAGTCGCTTTTATTACTTATTACTTAGTAATTATTTTTTCCCGATAAGAAAACACCATGACGATTCGTTTAAGTAAATATTTTTCTCGTTGATCTCGGGCGGTACACATTAGTAGGTAATATCCCCAAAAATAACGCCAGAAAACTTGGTAAAATAGTCTCATTAAAAAAATATAGTGTATACTGTTGACTAAAGAACTCTAGTTGGTACAACAGTACTGTAGTTATTATATTTAGTTTTAGCCAATGCTCCATGCATTATGTTGGTAACACATTCTTCCAAGTGGCATCCTGGCGGGAACGAAAGTGATAAAGGAATACATAGATACTTTATTAAAATTAATGAATACTTACCCTGTACTTTTTCCAAGAAAAACGTAATAATAATAATACATAACCAACACATTTTAGAAGCCTTCACTTAGTGCTTTAATAAAACTACAATACAAAACAGAAGTTATACATAAAACAAAATAATATCGTGTGTATCGTGTAAAACTCTCACCAGAATTTGTCAATTTATCTCTACCATAATGTAATCTCAAAATTTTGCTAAGTAAATCTTGCTTGAAAAATATATTGTTAAAATAATCGGATATTAAAATCGGCGTGAGTAAAACTCAACAATTTATTTTTCAGTAATACATACTTACACGACTATCTACACTGCAAAAGTGTAACTGAAAATAATTCCAACTTGTCTGATACTCATTATTCATTAACCTCCTCCTGGATACGCCTATACTGGCCTGCTCCCGACGGTTGTCTCTACTTAAACCCATACCATTGTTTAAGTATATACTATAATATACTTAAACAATGCCCATACGTTCCTTTCTAGATATTTCGTGATCGAGGTTGTTCTGGAGTACCCATCGCAACTTTCGCTTTCAGCTTTTTTTTTATTCGAGCGCCGTTATCGGTGATAATGAATCACCGCCTATATTGGAAAACCCGTACTTAGGCGTCGTACCGGAGTGGCGTATGGATTTATTTCGTAACAATGTTGAAAGTTTTGAAGCTATGAATAGACTTAAATTTCTAGAGTCATTTTGGACAACTGGAAATGAATTTGGCAAAAATGGTGCTACATGGTATATATACATTCTATTCCATTTAAATAAATTCTTTCCTAACGCACGAGCTTGGAATTGAGTAGATATGAAAGAATATCTTTTTGTGATTGTGCTAAATCTAATTTCTTACCTTGCTTTTGTATCTAATTGATTTCATGCGCTTAGTTTTCAAAATTGTGTGAGTTTGATTAAACAGCGTGTTTTTTGATGTTACAACATTATTTTACAACGTTTTGTTTAAACTTTAGAATTCATTCATTTATCATAAATTAAAATGAATTCTTCTCTGGAACTAACCCTTACAATTTTATTAACGTATGCTGGAGCCACGGGACACGTTATACATATAGTTACTTCTTTGAAAGATATACTGAGCTACATACATTCAACGTAATAAATATCATATATGCCATAATATTAACAAAGAGCAATACGTACATTTTAATAACATATTGTCCTTTGCTACAAAGGATAAGAAACTTGTTTTTGCATTATCAAACGATTTCAATTAATGTTATTAATTACGTCAGTGGATAGACGTTTCAAATACAGGCTTATTATAAATGTTTCTGATATCGTAGGTGGCTTTAAAAAATTTAGATCTGGCGATTTGACGCTTTCCGTTCCACCTACAATGTAAGAAACATTTATAATAACCCTGTATATTATCATTATTATTTTTGATACTTAAATTATCTGATTTACTGTCTTTGCTCTAATAAAAATTGGCCATATAATTTTTTCCACAAAATTTATTTTTAGCGTATAGAAAGTGCCAAGCTGATGATTTTCATTGTGGATCCAGAACATCTGATCCATGTATTCCGAAAGAAAAAAAATGTGATGGATACTTGGACTGTCGATCGGGGAAAGACGAATTAGGATGTCCAGGAGCTGCTTGCCGACTTGATCAATTTAGATGCGCCAACGGACAGCGGTGTATAGAACAGTCCCAGAAATGTGACCACAAAAACGATTGTGGAGATAATTCTGATGAACAGGGTTGTAGTAAGTATTATTAAATTCTACCCAGTTGAGAACAGTAATTTTTTTATTTTAACTTTTTTTAAATATTTGTTAGTTATTGTATTTACGGGTTACCGTAAGTACTTACACAAAATATTTTTACTACCTTCTCAATTTCATTACTGCTAACAGTAAAAAGTTGCATAAAAGAAAGACCTATTTGTATCACTCTTGTCTATTAAAAATAATCGATAGAATTGTCAATTAAAATAGCAAAATGTATACATGTACCACATCTCAATTTATCTTTTGTTCAGACTTTCCTCTCTGCCGTGGAGTCCAATTTCGATGTGCCAATGCTCTGTGCATTCCGGCAGCATTTCATTGTGATGGTTACCAAGACTGCTCCGACGGTTCCGATGAAGTAAATTGTACCGCAATTGCATGCCCAGATAACAAATTTTTATGCCCTAATGGAGGTGCAAATCGAGGTCCCAAGTGCATCCTAAAAAATAAGTTATGCGATGGTAAAAGAGACTGCGACGATGGAGCTGACGAAATAACTGCATGTTGTAAGTGACAATTTAGAATACAGTTTGAATAATCCCTCTCCCTTTATTGCACGAAATCTGATGTCAAATTAGCTACAAACTGAACTACTATAGTCAATAGTAATAAAAAGCCAATTAGAATACATGAATTTTGGAAAAATTCTCACTGTCGGCGAAATAGTCGACAAATTATTTTTTCTACTCCCTCATAGTAATCCATGAATTACGAACTGTCTAGCCTCATAGTAAAACCTTAGTTACACCCACTGGCATGTAATGAATGAACAGGCATGTAATATATATATATATTACGTGCCTGTTTGGGTAGTTTCCATAGCAACTATAAATATTTGCTTTCCCAAAAAAAATTCTTCTGAAAGTGATTCTTCAGTATAGATCGTAGAAAAAGTATATGACACAACTCTGGTGGTAAGCTAATTACGAACTCATTACATCACTCGCTCGCTACGCTCGCTCGTGTGTAAACTTCGTTCGTAATTAGCTTCTTACCACCCTCGATATGTAATATACTATTCTAGGCGCGGACTCTTCTCTTTAAATTTTGAAAAACTCTCTGTAAAATAAATCAACACCGATATTATTAATCTCTTGAACTATGACATTTTGCAGTTCCTCTAAAGTGTGAACTCTATTACGAAAGACATTTTTCTTTAAATGTCTAAACAAAAAAAAAAAATCTCGGAGCGTAAGATCTGGTGACCTAGCGAGCCAAAATCCCGGACTAATCGCTTTTCCAGGAAATATTTGTTGAAAATATTGTTACAGCAGCTGTGTGTTGAAAGAAACAATTCTTTCTTTCTTGCTCTTCCAACTAATTGAAAAAATGGTTTAAGATAAGCTGGTAACGGTTAGCATTAATTGTCTCGTAAAAAAAAGATCAGACTGATTATCCTGGCTCTAGAAATTGCAACCCAAAATCAATCTCGATTGGATGCAGATTTGTTTCTACGAAAAGATGAGGGTTATGCGTAGACCACATTCGATAATTTTGGGAATTTACATATCCCGAGAGGTAGAAGCCCAATCTGTAAAAAACGTATTATTCAAAACTTCACCCACGTTCATGTTCTCCAGAAACCAGAAATGAACACGGATATTAAAATCGTGGTAGCTGTTGCACCGTTATAACTTTGTAGGTATGGATGCACGTGGAGTTTCTTTTTCAGTATGATATATCTGTTGTTGCGATAACTTCCTAATCGATTTCTTTGGATTATGTTGCATCCTTTCCTCGACATCACGAATGGTCTCGTCAGATACTTTTGATGCAGGCCTTCCTGTTAATTTTTTTTTTTTTCAACGCTACCAGTAGTTAGAAACCGCTCAACAATTCGGTTGCCATGCTGTTTGAACGGAGGAAATTCACTTTATATCTCAGAATACATGCTAATGAACTGGTGGTAACAGGCATCCATTGAATAATTCCAATATCCAAATTCATCTTGTCTTCGACTACGGAAATATGAGACTACCATAAAAGTATTCTGCTCCACAGAAAATGGTGTAGTACAAAATCACAAACGTTCTTCTAATGCAATGGCAAGATAGACTATTAAAGTAAGTACTAACAAAAAACACATATGCGAAACTTCAAATTTGGACTTTAAATTTTGCCAACGAAGCAAGGAGACAAGAAGTAATCATTTCAAAAAAAGATTAATCGTTTGAAAATAAAATATTGTATTTCAGTCGAAGTTTAAGTGACTATATGTGAGTCAATGGACTTAATTCGCCTCGCTATCGCTCGGCGATTAATCGTCCATACTCCGTCACATAAAGTATCACTTTAACTCCTAATAAAATAAATATCTATTCTTAAATTAATTAAATTAAACTTTTACTGCGCTCTTCAATAGGACCCAATCGGTGAAAATACCAACATCGATGTTTTATTTCTACATCTACCGATGATAGATGTCTACGCCAACGTTCATTAGTTTACACAAACATATCAAAATCTGGCTGTTCAGTTTTTCAGGGTTAATTTTGAAGTTTTTAGGTTAGATATTCTTTAAAATCACGTCAATTGTGTGATGCTACTAAAATTTATCAATAGGTTTTTTGTGACACTACACTAATTCCGATTTAAAAGAAACCAAATTCTGCCGTATACCTTCTTGCTGTTTTTCTGGGTAATGTTTGAGGTTAAATCTCATTCAGTCAAACAATTTCGAGTTCTTAAAACAGTCAGTTATGAAATGTATGTGACCCATAACAAATTCAATTAAATAGTAAAGTAGTAGGTAGTAGTGATAGTAAAAATATTATCAAAATTGACAGAATACTTGCCTAGGCAAAATAAAAAGGATTTATTTCAAACAAGTTTGTTTACTAAAGGGGTCAGTTATTTTACAAGATTACCACCAATAGATCCGGATAATAAGTTGCAAAAACCTAAATAAATAGCAATATATTGATTGTTAAGTGAATATGCAGGCTAATTCAGCTTAAATGACCCAATTGCCTATTTCTAATAGGCAACTCAACATACATTATACGCTTACTTCTTGATTCAAAATTTAATTTCAATAATAATATAATGAATCGAAGTATGCATTGTTGTACCACTGTCAGTTTGATTAGCAACATTTTTTCAAGATGCCGAGGTATTTATTCATAAATGATATTAACTGGCGAAATATCTGGTAAAAACGCTAAATTAGCTGTAAACTTGCACGCACAGCAATATCTAGGACGAAGACATCCTAATCACAAAATTTTTAAACAAGGTGAAAAGTGTTTGAGAGCAAATTGTAAGTAAATGTAGACGTGTACAAACAGCGTAGTCACGATCTAACTTCATTCTACTATTTTTTATGGGGATACGTAAAAGAAAGAGTATCCGCAATGCCGTTCGAAAATATGGTTGAGTTGCAAGAACGAATTGAACAAGTATGTCAATCCATTGGTCTCGAAATGTTAGAACACGTAAGACGCTTGTTTATAAACAAACTTGAAACTTGTGAGCAGAGAGAGAGATCGGTCACATTGAAAACGACTTGTGTTTTATTGGAAAATAACCATTGATTTCAAATGTTTTGTTTATGTGACAGTGACAATGACGTTTCAAAAAAGAAAAGCAAACTTGGATTCATGGCATTTTGAAAATTAAATTTTGAATCAAGAAGTAAGCGGATAATATATGTTGGGGTGCCTATAAGAAAGGGCTAAGTGAGTCATTTAAGCTGAATCACCCTGCGTATGTATAAATGTTTAATCAATGCTTCGATTTCAACGCAATAATAATCACTTAATTTGATTCTTTGGCAGTATGGGATTATAGAAGTTATAAAAATAAATAACAATGAGTAATAAATATTGTTGAAAACGCATAAAGACTCCACAAATATTAAATAGTCACTAACGAACGAATCAAGTAGGTACTTGGTAACTATTAATGATTGAAGCAAATTTTTGTGTTGGCAATTCTAATTAAATAATAGATAGCAATGCTAGGATATAAATTCACAGTTGTCAATTTTGACATGAATGCGCCTAACAAACGTAATAAGAAGGCGACAGCCACTAACTGGGTGCTATAAATTTTAATTTAACAATCAGTCAATGCCATCGTCAAATTTTGAATATGTTGCCAACGTGACAAAAAAATCACAAACATTAATAGTCACTCGGAATTAGTTAACGCTCACTGTACAGTGCCGATGTTTATTGTTTTAATATCACATTATTGTTAATTTTACATACACAGTAAACCATATAAAAAACACTAGAGAAGATCGAGGCCTAATTCGAATAGTTTCGAATAGAATTTAAATGTTTAAGCTATTTTGACTTAAAATGAGTTTAAACAAGTCTTAATGAAGTTCGATGAATACATATCTACCAGGAGCAGCTCATGACTTGAAAAGTTGATGGATGAGGCAAGGCAATATCTAAATATCGAAAGATTTATATTGTCGTGCTTGCGTTTTAGGAGTTCACATGAAACTTTTTTCACAAAAAATAAACTTTTAGAACCATTAAGCAAACGAAAAATCTGTAATTTTTCTATACCAAAAAGTCTAAATTGTATTTGATTAATTATAATATCAAGAATTTTGGAAAAGATTTACCTCAATTTCTGCTGTTTATCATTCATTTCACTTCCTTTACAACATTTTGACGGTAACACATCAATATAAGTTTTCCATAAAAATTTTGTTAACAAATCATCACTGCGTCTAAATTCACGTAATTTTCCTAAAGCTGTTTACATTAAATTCTGAGAATATCTGTGAACAAACTTACTTTGCAAAACATAAAAAACAGTATCAGTCTGTTGAAAAATTAATGCCAAAGTTTCTAGAAAAAATACACTTTGTGATTAATCATTATATTCACTTAAGGTTAAGTAGGCAGAAATTCTTATTTGCCATAAATTAAACGTATTCTTGACTACCGAAATCAAATTATGACGACCATCATAGCACTGACTTCACGTACGCAAATTTAGAAACGTATAACACAATTTTTTTAGTAAAATTTTGAATAAATGACACACAGATTTGTCATAAAACAATAAACATCATAGTTTTGAATATATATTTTGCTTTTTAATATTAATGCAATGGTACGCTGTACGCTGAAATATTATTATCGTTAATCTCCCTTGCAAGTTCGGAAAATGAGGCTAACCTCAATTTTATCTTTTTTCAACAGTTACGGCTTAAAGGTGCGTTAGAAGCAGCCTACATATTAAACGGCGTCAGTTTTGTGTGCACTATAGAGGCAAAATTCGAGTCTGCGTCTGCCTCTCTGTTGTGTGTCGAAGCGCACTGTTGAACCATACGAACAGCAAATACCTACCCACCTATCAAGGAAAGAATAAGAATAATGTTCCACATTATTTTTTAAATAATAAAAAAAAAATGCATCGTTCAGAAATAATAAAAATAATAATACGGCACAAATTCATGATGAGGCATTACCTCACCTGTCTCATAGCATAGGACAATAATTCACTTTCCTAACCTCTTTTATGAGCAGTACTAAGCACAATAATATATCGCTACTGTTAATGTTAACCAATGTGAAATCGAGTTTCTGAGATATGAAAATTTATGTTTTTAACGCGAGTGCAAGGCTATGTACGCAGTGTACAATTTCTGACCTTTTGCTGGCACCGGGCAGTGGCAGTTATGGAACTGTTCAATTTTTGTTAACTGACTGACCTAATTTTTCTTAAAAGCTGATTATAATTGAATCTTATCTATTACAAATTTACTTACATTTTACGGCTATAAAACCTGGAAATTAATTTTTAGAAAGTACATTAATACAGTTTTCAGTAGTTAACTGATGCCCCTTATACCTAATATTTTTGGACCCCTATCAAAGCGATTATATTGTTGTATTATTTTATGAGGTACATTACAGTATTTTGAATAAGATTACGCTGTGAAAAAACTAAACCAAATGACGAAATATGAGATTGTGCAAAATGTCTACTGATCAAACAAATTTTGTATGAAACTAATAATCAATAAAAGTTTTATTCTTGAGTTTTTAGTCATCGCGCCTCGCCCCCTAAAACACAGTCGCTGCTGTACCAAAGGGTAAAAACCCCTGACGCCTCACTCCTCTCACTCGCGATATGTTCGTCACACTTTCGGTATGTAGAAGGTATAGTGGCAAGTATTTAATTAATACTTGAATATCTTTGATCCTTTTGTAAAAGGCGAACGTAATTTGTGACGAACGGTAATAATTAGACGAAACAAAAATGCAGACCACAATTTTTGTAGAACGGAAGCAAGCAGAACTTGAAAGTAGGCGAACCGTAAGATAGGTCGAAATGAGTATATACGTCATCTCGTTTTATCACTTTTAATTTTATTGTTGGTTAAAAAAAAATTTGCTATAATTGTAGTTGGGCTCCAAATGATTTTCCTAACGCGCAACCGCAACCGTACATGAGGACCTATCGGTCATTTCACCATTCGAAAAATCTGCCATTTTTAACTCACGACAAACGTCCAATGAATCTGTCATCATTTTTGCTAAGCAACAAATATACCTATTTTTTACCTTTTTAATTTTTTTATAGTAACTTGTATCTTCGTAAAATCAGTACCGTTGCAATTTTGCATAAAATTTCATTGAGTTAATTAATTTCAAAAATTAGAGGAGTTTTATTAGAACAATTTTTGGTATATGGTCTTTATAATTCGTGACCAGTTACAAGTGACTGCATCGCCATCATCTGGTGAATGAATTTTTCTAATGAGAACAAGATAACTTTATCGTCTTTTTCACTTTCGAACAAAATTCGGTTTTTACACTTTTCGTGCTCTCCTTTTTTTGTTCTACAAAATGTACCTACGGCACTTTTTTTTCACCTAATTTCCGTTCGTCACGCCTTTTATGTGCGTTCCCAAGTTTTTGACTATTTTTCCATTCGCACCTTTTGATTATTTTCCACTTCTCATTTTAGTTTGAAACGTAAATATAGTGGTTCAAGCTTCGATATTTTGGCAAATGAAGTATAGGATATTATTATTGTCGGGAATCCACTTTGTCCCGAAATTTTATTGCGACTTTATTTCTTATAACTCAAACTTACACCACTAATTACACAGTGATTATGTACAAAATAATTTAGGCGCAACTTGACTGAATTCATTCACTGGACTCGGCTCGCTGACTGAATAACCTCGTTCCCGAAGGTGATCTCTATTTAAACCCATACTTCGCTTCTAGACGTTGTGCGGTCCAGGTCTTTCTGGAATATCCATTGCGGCTTCCGCTTCCAGGCTTTTCTTCAGCGAACGCCGCCCGACGGCCGTCACCGACGATGAGTCACCCATCGTCGCCGCACATATCAGAAAACCCATAGGCGTCGTACCGGCACGGCGTGTGGGTTTATTTCGTAACACTGTGTGGTTTAGTTTTATAAAATTTATTCTTCACAACACCGAAATCACACAAAATATTTATCGACGCGTTCTGCTAACCACCTTGAGATTATCTAGACAAAACTAAACTGTTTAGAGAGTTTTGTCTAGATAATGCCAACATGCTGGCGAAACGCGTCGAAAATAACTATTGTGTGGTTTCGGTGTTGTGAACCATTATTACACATGTTTCAAAAAGAAAATTCTTTTTTGATGTAATGTTACGTTATAATTTAAGGAAGAAAGTACTTTTCCCTACATTGTTGATGACTATATTGTTCTATATTATACTATAGTAATAGTATTATTATAGTCTCATGTTATGAAAAAATGTGTCATTATAACAGAGTTTAGAAGGTAAGTGCATAATAACGTATCAAATGAAAATATTTCTTTTGCGTTGTGTTTTTAACATTTTTTAATTGATGAGCCCTTCCAGAAAAAAAAATGGGGAAAAATATATCGACCCGGGTGGGACTCGAACCTACGTCTCCCTGTTGGCCGGGACTTGCCCACTGAGCTACCGAGACGTGATTGTCTCTTCTCACTTTCCACTGTTATATCATGCCGCCACAATTACTATCTACGCCAATATTATCGGCAAGCATCATTTTTAGCCTTGTACTCGCTGCAGTATATTCTTCTCTCCTCGAATTTGCCCCTTATATATTAGCCCCGGTTTTCCCCTAATCAAAGCAAACTCTAATAAATATAAAATATATCCAGTTTCAGATTTATCTATGCTTTTAATTTTGAGAGTTATAAACATTATTAAGATTGGTTATAAAAAAAGTGTCCTCAGTGGGAACAGAAATGTAAATTTTCAAACTAATATAATTTAACCTAGATACAATTATTCTATCTGGTACATATAGGTATTAATCGCACGTGAGGATATATTTTTTTATTAATTTAACGTTACACGCAATGACAATTTCACATTTTAAACTAAGAACAATTTGAATCTAGCCTTAAAACTCCCAATTTAATTATTATTTCTGTAAAACACGAATTTTTTAACGCTTATTCTTTATCGAAGTACTTTTATAACTGAATCAGTGAAACTAATGGACTGTAGAGAAACAGATTTGCATTTACAATTTTCTCTCTGTAAATATCAATGCATGTTTGATTTACGACAATCACAAAAGGTGATAGGGAAAAGTAGTAAGTAATTAATGAATTACTACTAAAAAGGTCCGAAGTTAAATATACTAGCTGGGGGATTATTCAAATCGATCGTAAGATGCTATAATAATAATTAGTATATGAATGATACGTTAATTGTGCAATGTGTTTACAGCCAAGTTGTCATGCCCTTCGTTAGGGTGTGAATATAAATGTCAAGCCTCATTAACCGGAGGTTCCTGCTATTGTCCTGATGGCAGAAAATTGGCACCAGACAACAGAACTTGCATCGACAGAAATGAATGCATGGAATGGGGATTTTGTGACCAAATTTGCACAAACACTGACGGAAGTTATAAGTGTTCCTGTGCTCTAGGATATTCCTTAAAAGACAAAAACAGGTGCAGCGCATTAAACGGCAGCTCTTTAATGTTATATTTCGTTCACGATAAAGCGATATTTCGAATGAGCTCGGGAGGAGGGGATGTTCAAGTCGTTACAAACACCACTGGTGCAAGCGGTTTAGATTTCCATTACAACAAAAATATGTTGTTCTGGTCAGACATCAAAACAAAGAGAGTAAGTAACACGGTATTTTGCGAGGTCATTAGGGTGGATTTCGTTGTTTGCTACTGTTCTCTGGTATATTACAAATAAAATTGAGCCATTACTAAAGTCTGCCCCTGTGGATTTCAGTGGATATTATTTAACATTATAAATGCTATACAAACCGTTCTAATTAAACTAGAATTTTAAATAAATATTTTTTGCAAGGGATAATAAACAAGGTCATAATAATTATTGTTAACATATTAAATTAAATACTCGTATTGTAAACAAGAAAAAATATTATCTCCTCATTAACTTTAAGAATTTCTATATATGTAATTGTTTAAATATGTAATTTAGAAAAAAATATATAAAGTCCATAATGTACCACAAACTCATTTTCTATTAGATAAGTTCAATATATTTTATTATGATGAAGAAAATTATATTATTATTTAATATTATTTTAACAAAAAAAAAAAAAAAATACACACAAGTAGTATGTACAACGACGACTTGATATCAATTTTAAAGTAATGTTCGCTATATGAAGAGCTGAGCATATTCTACGTAAAACGTGTTTTCCGTTTTCGAACAAATACGATAATTTGCTCAGGATGGATAAATCGAATAGACTACATTCAGATTATATTGTGAACGGAAAAAAGAATACACAGCATGGCACAGATGACATTATCTGAAAGAAGCAGAGCGAACTCTGGCATTTTTCTTTACTGGACGTATCAAATGACGCGAAATACTCCACACTTACCCTCAAATCTTTCGTAAGAAAATTTAAATTCAATCTATACAGCTCTGTGTGCGCCCTATAGATCCTTGCCTTCTTTTAAAGACTTTACTACACATAAATAAGGCAGTAATTTTTGCTATTAGTTTTTAAAAGTTCTTTGAAAATAAATTTAATGTAACTGGTCCTTCTGACTTATATGAACTTCTTTCATTAATATAAATATCACAAATGCTCTAACGAGTTAATAAAGGGGTTATAGGAGGTTACACCGATGAACCTGCTCACTAGGTAATTTTAGTACACAGTAGGTATTGGAAGTGATCAGTCACTGTGGATTACCCCTTACATAATTTCAAAATATATGACAAAAATATGTTTGCAATTTAATTTAAGCATTGAATATCAATAATATAGAGTGTTACCATTTTTAACTTTCATTTTTCAATTTGTTGAAGTTTCAATTTCATATTAGTTTCAGAAATTAAAAAAAAAAAACGGACGAAAGCGGGAAGCTTGTATTTTTCTTATACAGACATAGAGAAAAAAAAGTCACACATGGGTTGGTCGATGCTTAAATTTAATGTTTTTCTAATCGTACCTCGTAACAACGCTAATGTAGATATTAGCAAACTACCATTACTACATTCACTACAATTTGGCAAGGTGCATACCAACGATTAGCCAGTTATTTACCATCGAATGCTACTAAACTTCGTTTGTTTGTTGCTGAGATTAACATTATTTTAGCATTATTTTAGTCACAATTTTGTTTTACATCCAGACAACAACAGAGGAAATTACGGAATACTAGTCAGTTAGGAAAATTGTGTAAAACTAGATCTAAAAATGTGTGTGCTTAACTGCCATAACCCCAAAACACTTTTTTTGTATACAAATAAAGTAACAACAAAGTAGTGTCTACGAATTTCCAAACTTTTAATGAAAATAGCGACATATTTCCAGAAAATTTGCAGTTTTAAGACAAAAAAAAACTGCCACTTACTTTTGTTCATAAACGCTAATTCAGAAATAACGAAAAGGAACGTTCGTTCACATATTTGTCCAAAGCAAAATAAATGTGTCTTGTAGTGCTTGTAGTGAATGTAATAAATATAAAATACAGACTGACCATAACTCCTGGATAACTCCCGTTTCCCATTGGAATTGCAATATGGTAATTGTGACATATGTCCAAGTTTTCTTAACGTTTCACAGCTCGTAGAATACGAATATACAGGTAATGCGTTACCGTTTATTTATCAAAGCCTGCCTGCTCCGGAATAACATAACCGAAAACTCTGTCATAATTGAAATTATCGTAAAAATAGAAAGGCACCAATCAGAAATCAATAATAATCAATCAAAAATTGATATTTATGACTCTATAAGCAGGATGTCTTTTCACTTAACACCAGTGGGAAAATAATAAATGCGCAACATACGAGAATTATTTTTAATCTTATTTTCTGTGCCATTCTGTCGGAGTATTTTTTTTTTATAAAATCTGAAAAATATTGGTTAATAGCATGCTTCAGCTCCGCATTGAAAGCAAATAAGTAAATTTCTCCAGGATGTTCTTTTCATATATATTTTTAGGTAAAAAGAATTCGCTATAAATGTTAACTTGGAACTGTAATAATAAGATGAATGACGTAATTCAGAGAAACCGTGTGTTTTGAACTTTGTGGGCGCTGTGCATCTTGCAACTGTCGTGCAGCAACAGATTTTTCCAGCTGTAAGTGGCAGACGTTTTCTATTCAACGTTAGATTCAACTTTTGAATTGTGTTGTTATACACCCATACTTCAGGCTTTTTTGTCAAAAACTGTAACATATGGCAATGCTTCGGCAATAAACTGAACTTGTTTATTATTTTTCACAGAATATTAATAACATTTTATTTGTCAACAACCTCCAAAAAAAATTTATGACATGTCCAACAAATGTTTATCAAAAAAATATACTCTGAAGTGTGGTCTAATTGGTATGTTAGTAATATGATTTTAGTTGTTACGACTGCTTACAAAGGACTTCTTAAATTTTTAAAATCTTAATCAGTTAATTAATTCATTATTTAATGTATGCATGAATTAATTAAGATGTTAAAATTTTCCATTATTTTAAAAATGATCCATTTCAATTTTCTGGAAATCATGTAACATCATAATAGTGATGTATTATGAATACTAAAATTAAAGTGTTTATCCTCACCAAAATTTAATAAATAAACTGCGGGATGTGTATATGTACATATATAATTGTTTTAATCAGAACAGAACGAAATTCATTTAGAATGACCAGCGGTCTATTACGTATTTTGCACCTGCATTTATCTACATATGTGAACATTTTAGATACACTCTCAACAACTCAAAATGACCCCAGGCGGCCTTTCTGGGATAAATGACGTCGACATAGCCCTACCAGGAATGTGGCTACCAGTAGCGATTGCTGTCGATTGGGTAGGAAATAAATTGTACGTCGCTGACTCGGTGGGTCAAAAAGTTGATGTTTTTGAATTATTTTCTGATCGATGGCACGCGGTAGTTTTGGGATCAAACTTAACGAATCCTGCCGATATTGCTTTAGATCCAACCGTCGGCTACCTCTTCGTTGCTGATAGCTCACAAGTTTTACGGGCAAACATGGACGGCACAAATGCGCACGCTATAGTGTCGGAAGCAGCATATAAAGCTTCTGGAATTGCTGTAGATATTATTTCAAAACGTGTATTCTGGTGCGATTCATTGCTGGATTACATTGAAACGGTAGATTACAACGGGCAACGTAGATTTTTAGTTATTCGAGGACAGGCAGTACCAAGTCCCGCACGATTAACATTATTTGAAAGCAGGGTCTATTGGACCGATGGAACAAAACAAGGTGTAATGTCGGTAGATAAGTTTGATAGTTCAAGCATTCAGTCGATATATAGAATGCGGGACATTCGAGATCCAAAAGCTGTTAAGGCTGTGCATACCTTAACCCAGCCATACGCTAATAATCCTTGTAGCAATAACAATGGAGGCTGCCAACATATGTGCATTATAACCAACACCGGTGCAAGTTTGGGGTTCCGCTGCGCTTGTAACATCGGTTTTCGATTAAAAAGAGACGAGCGAACTTGTGACGTAGTTACAGAGTTCTTGATGTATTCACAGCAAAGATTCATTAAAGGAAAAGTTTTAAACCCTGTAATAGAAGGTTTCAGTGATGCAATGCTTCCAGTGGTATCACGACGAGCCAGATTTGTTGGTCTCGATTTTGATGCTAGAGACCAACACATATATTATTCAGATGTGTTACAAGATGTTATATACAGAGTACATCGGAATGGTACATCGCGTGAAATTGTCCTCGCATCCCAAAATGAAGGTGTCGAAGGTCTTGCGGTTGACTGGGCATCTAAAAATTTGTATTACATAGACAGCAGAAAAGGAACATTAAATGTTTTATCTACAAGGAACGTGACTTACCGAAGAACTTTACTTAAGAATTTAAAAAGACCAAGAGCAATTGTTGTCCATCCGAATAAGGGATACATATTCTTCTCAGAGTGGGATCGTCCCGCTAATATATCAAGGTCATCGACTGACGGAAATAACTTAACAGTTTTTAAAAATTTAACGCTTGGCTGGCCAAATGGTCTTTCTATTGATTTTCAACAAGATCGGTTATATTGGTGTGATGCCCTCCTAGACCACGTACAGCATTCTAATCTAGATGGAACTGATGTAAAAACTGTCAATTCTAGATTGATCAGGCACCCTTTTAGTATAGTTATCCACAAGGACTTTATGTACATTACTGACTGGCGTTTAGACGCCATTATAAAACTTCACAAACTAACAGGTGACCTAGAAGAGACTCTCATAAGAGAACCTCAAACAAATCGACTATATGGAGTGAAGGTAAATTTATTAAATCGAAAAAAAAAAAGTTTTTTCACCTTGTTTTTATTTGGCAGATATATAGCGAATTAGAACAAAGAATAGACAGTAGTCATCCGTGTTGGAATAACAATGGTGGCTGTTCTAAGCTTTGCTTTGCAATACCAGATGGCAACGCCGAAGGTTTAATAGCAAAGTGTGGCTGTCCATACGGTGAACGTCTTATGTCTAACCAAAGAAGTTGCCAATCAGATCCTAGTCATGAACCTCCAGTACAAGCATGCCCAAACAGTTGGGACTTCACCTGTAATAATCAAAGATGCATTCCTAAATCGTGGGTGTGCGATGGAGATGACGATTGTCTAGATAACAGTGACGAAGAACAAAATTGCACTAGTAAGTGGAATTTTCGTTTCATTTATTTCTTATGTTTTGTTAAATAAAACGTTTCTTGCAGAACCCACTTGCGGAGCTAACGAGTTCCAGTGCAAATCAGGCCGCTGTATTCCCATGACATTTAAATGCGACGCAGAAAACGATTGTGGTGATTTCAGCGACGAAACAGGTTGCGTAAACGTAACTTGCGGTTCCACCCAATTTCACTGCGATAATGGTCGTTGCATTCCTAACAGTTGGAAATGTGATTCGGAAAATGATTGTGGGGATGGCTCAGACGAAGGAGATTCATGTGCTGAAAAAACGTGCGCTTATTACCAATTTACGTGTCCTAGAACGGGACACTGTATTCCTCAAAATTGGGTGTGCGACGGCGACGATGACTGTTTTGACAAGCAAGATGAACAAGATTGTCCCCCCATTACATGCCAACCGAATCAGTTTAAGTGCTCAGATTTACGCCAGTGTGTACAAGAAAGTTACAAATGCGATGGTATTCCTGATTGTAATGATGGAAGTGATGAACTGGGTTGTCGTAAGTTGTTGGAACAATAAAACATTAATATGATTTTAAATATAATTTTTCGTAATTACAGCATCGATTGCTCCAGATCAGTGCAATAGCGAAAAACAGTTCCAATGTCAGTCATCAAATATTTGCATACCAAAAGCTTGGCACTGCGATGGAACTCATGATTGCGTTGACGGCTCCGACGAACCGGAATCTTGCGGTCAAATTAAATGTGCACCAAACTTCTACATGTGCAACAACGGCCATTGTGTTTTTAAAGTACGTTGTTTTTATGAAATACTTTTTTATGTAGAAATTTACACCGTAGGCCTATATATGTGATGGTAAAGACGATTGTGGCGATGGATCTGACGAAAGCCACATACATGCCTGTGGCAAACCACCTTTCAGATGTCCTGATGGACAGTGGAATTGTCCAGGTATTTCAGAACGCTGCGTGAACCTTACCAGTGTCTGCGATAAAAAAGAAGATTGTCCCAATGGTGCTGACGAAGGACCAGACTGTGACTTTAAAGAATGTCAGCATCAAGGAGGTTTATGTTCCAACGGATGCAAACAGACTCCCAAGGTGCGTAAGATTTCCTTTAAAGTTTCATTTTTACTAATGTCTATTTTAAAGGGGCCTTTGTGTTTGTGTCCAAAAGGCGAGACTCTTAAAGATGATGGACTAACTTGTGAAGATTTAAATGAATGTGATCCTCCAGGAATTTGTTCGCAAAGTTGTACAAATATTAAAGGATCATACATATGTAGTTGTGTTGCCGGTTACCTATTAGAACCCAATAAGCATTCTTGTAAAGCCTACAGTTAGTAAAATTTACTAGTTTATTTGAGAAATGACCTAATGAATCCCTATTTTAGATCATTCTGCGGCATTTCTAATTATATCAAATAGACACTCTATACTTGTAGCAGATTTGAAAGACCAGGGCCTTGAGCGAGTACCAATTATTGTTGAAAATGTTGTAGCAACTGCTTCAAACATGCATACTGGTACCATTTTTTGGTCCGATATGAAACTCAAAAGAATATCTCGCTTAGACAGAGGTGGTGAACCGGTAGATGTAATATCTACAGGATTGGATCTAGTAGAAGGGTTAGCTTATGATTGGATAGGCGGAAATATTTACTGGTTAGATTCAAAACTAAATACAATTGAAGTTGCAAAAGAAAATGGCACGAACAGAATTGTTCTCGTAAAAGAAAATATTACGCAACCAAGAGGAATGTGTTTAGACCCCAGTCCAGGGTAAATCCCAAGAACTTTTTAATTAAAAAATATTAATGGGAATACAATTTTAGAACTCGTTGGTTATTCTGGACAGACTGGGGAGAAAATCCACGTATTGAGAGAGTAGGAATGGATGGATCAAACCGATCGACTATTATAAATACAAAAATTTACTGGCCAAATGGTCTTACCTTGGACACGGCTACTCAGAGAGTTTATTTTGCCGATTCTAAATTAGATTTTATAGATTTTTGTTATTATAATGGAACTGGAAGGCAACAAGTACTTGCAGGCAGCCATTATCTTCTACATCCTCATTCTTTAACATTGTTTGAAGATACACTTTACTGGACAGATCGACAATTAAACAGAGTTTTGTCTGCGCACAAATTTAAAGGTTAGTTAATTTTTATTTGGAGTAAATAATATTACTTTTTTAATTATGTTTCCTTCTTAGGAAACAATCAGACCGTTGTGTCACATCTAATTTCCCAACCATTAAGTATTCACGTACATCATCCATCACTGCAACCATTTACGGAAAATTCTTGCCAAAATCAACCCTGCCAGCATATTTGTTTGCTTTCACCGTCATCTAGTACAGGTTACACATGTAAATGTAAAGCAGGATTTAAATTAATATCGGATGGAAGGTGTATTGAAGAAGAACTGACTTTATTGCTGGTCATGAAAGGTTCCCAAATTATAGACGTTCCTACTGAACCTAAACAAAATTCTGCTGGCTTTATTTCACCTATTGTAGGTATTGACAAAGGAGTTCAAATAGATTATGACAGAAGAAATAGTATGATATTTTGGGTAGAAGGCAAAGAAAATGACGACGAAAACGTAAGACCAAAAGATTTTTTTTTATTAACTGTATCTAATATTCACTTGCTTTATAGTTCACAGTTTGGACAACTCCATACAGTGGAGGTAATAAAACACAATTCTTGGGTATCGATTCTGGCATTGTAGGATCAGCATCTGCAATTGCATTTGACTGGCTGGGTCGAAATCTGTTCATTGGAAATCGATTAGCCAGTAATTTTGAAGTAATAAGAGTTGATGGAAAAATTAAACATAGAACTGTAATTTTGGCAAACGATGGAAACAAAACTTCCGTAGCTAAGCCAAGATCCATGTGCGTCGATCCCACTGAAGGTAAACTGTACTGGACTGACGAAGGAGGAGCGGGAGTTCCACAAAAAATTGGAAAAGTAAATATGGACGGTTCAAATTCAGTAATACTTGTTGAAGACGTTGAGAGGCCTGATGCCATAACGATAGACTTGGATACGAAAACTTTGTATTTCAGTACACAGTTTCCTCCCAGTGTTATTTCTATTGATGTTTATGGCGGAAACAAGAACCCTATATTGTCTGAAAAACACGACATTGCGAGACCAAAAGCATTGGGTGTATTGTCAAGGCGACTTTTCTATTTAGACCCTGTATACGAAAAATTAATTAGGGTTGATTTACCTAGTGGCAATAATCCGAAAACAATATTAGAGAATGAACCAGATTTGAAAACATTTACCATATACAGGAAAAGACAAATGGTTGATCATCCTTGTCTCCAAAATAATGGCGGTTGTGAACAAATTTGTTTACCTGGTGAAGGCAGTTCACGCACTTGTGCTTGTGGTGTTGGATATAAAAAAGAACATGAAGTTAAGTGTTCCCCTTACAAAACATTTGCCGTGGTTGCTCAGTTAGATATGGCTCGGGGCTACAGTCTTAAAGATAGTTCAGAAGCTATGGTTCCAATAAGCGGTTCAGGACACCATATTTTGCATATTGACGTGCATTATTTGGAGACCTGGATATACTGGGTGGAATTTAATAGAGGAACGTGGAACGGTATCTTCAGAATCAGACCGAATGGTACGGAATTACAGCATGTAATCAAAAGTGGAATTGGTAGTAATGGAATTCGTGGACTCGCAATAGACTGGGTGGCCCGTAATTTGTATTTCACTAATGTATTTCCTCACGAAAACTATGTGGAAGTTTGTTGGTTAAATGGAACTAATAGAAAAGTTATTTACAAAACCACCACAGATGCACCGCGAGAAATTGCTGTAAATCCATTAAAACGAATTTTATATTGGATTGATTATGGGCAGTATCCTAGAATAGGAAAAGCCAATTTGGATGGGTCGGGCTGGACTGTATTAATAACATCTGGAATTAGTAATCCTAAAGACTTAACTATTGACATGAATACGCATGAATTATACTGGATTGATTCTAAACTGGACATGATCCAGAGAATATCATATAATGGTGGCAATAGGCAAGTAATTCGGAGAAACTTACCTAATCCAATGGGAATTGCTGTTCATAAAAGTGACGTTTATTGGGTCGACCGCAATTTACAAGCTGTCTTCAAAGCTTCAAAAATACCAGGGAATACATCACTACCAGTACGTGTGAGAACCAACTTGCAAAAGCTAAGAGATATTGCAATTTTTGATTTAACTAATCAACCATCTGATGAAACCAATCCATGTAAATTTAGAAATGGTGGTTGTGAACAACTCTGCTTCTCGTTCCCTCAAGACTCAACGAGTACATCACGGACAAATATGAAGTGTAATTGTGCAACTGGAAAACTTGCACCTGATGGAAGAAAATGCGACTTTGCTAACGAATATTTAGTTTTTTCCACTAGAACGGAAATAAGAGCAATCTACTTAGATCCAAGATCTACAAACGTGCCGTTTAGTCCAGTGGGTAACTTAACAAACGTAGTAGGAATAGATTTCGATTATAATGATCAAAAATTACTATTTACTCAAATACGACCATGGGCTCGTATAGGATGGATGCCTGCCACAATTCCAAAAAATCCAGATATTAAGAACATTATTAGTCGTGGCATTAATCCTGAAGGTATTGCTTATGATTGGACACAAAAGAAAGTATACTGGACAGATTCTTCTAACCACAGTATTTACGCAATGAATCTAGATGGAACAGATTTAGTTATGATAGCAAGAGTAGAAAGACCCAGAGCTATAGTAATAGATCCTTGTAACGGAACACTTTTTTATACTGACTGGGGTAAATTCGGAACAAATGGAAAAATTATTCGAACTACAATGGCAGGATCACTGAAAAAAATCATAATCGACAAAAACTTAGCACAACCTTCTGGTTTAGCGATAGACTACGACGAAAGAATGTTATACTGGACGGATGCCGTGCGTGAGAAAATCGAAAGATCAGATTTAAATGGCCGTAATCGTGAAGTTCTGATTTCTGCCACTATATATCCTTTCTCAATAACTGTGTTCGGAAACTACATTTACTGGACAGACTTACAATTAAGAGGGGTTTATCGCGCCGAAAAACATACCGGCAACAATATGGTAGAAATGGTTAAACGGTTAGAAGATAGTCCGCGAGATATTCAAGTGTATTCAGTCTCGCGACAAGCCTGCAGTGTCAACCCTTGTCACATCAACAATGGCGGATGCGCCAAGAGTTGTCACCCTGGACCTAACGGAACGGCAGAATGTCGGTGTGATGATACCACTAAATTAGTAAATGAAGGACGGATGTGTGTTGCCAAAAATTTGACTTGCGACTCTAGTAAATTCTATTGCGCAAATGGCCGATGCATTTCAAGAATGTGGGCATGTGATGGCGAAGATGACTGTGGTGATAGCAGCGATGAAGACACCAATTACTGTTGTAAGTATCAATTCTACGACATAATTATAAATGGAAGAAAGCAAAACGGTAATATAGAGTACAATTATCCAGGGCGGTTTTAAAGTTATTGTTCTATCGTCAGCACTCGATATATTTGATACGACATCGATGCCGTAAAAAATATTAGAAACATCTGTATGTAATTTTAAAAATGCACAAAAATCTTAACAATTATTACCCATCCTAGTTAAAAATAATCAAATAAAAATGCATGTATGTACATACCATTACGTGACGATTTGATGTAGCTGAGATGACGCGTGCATGTTGCTTATCTTTACCCGCTGATACAATTAATGTTAATTCAAAACTGAACGTACTCTCGCAGTGATGCAAAAACTTATTATACATACTATAATTTTTCTTTAGCATTCCATTCATGTTCACCTAACGAATTCCGTTGTGCCAATGGCCGCTGTATTTTTAAATCCTGGAAATGTGACCACGAAAATGACTGCAAAGATGGATCTGACGAAAAAGATTGCCAATATCCACCATGTGCCGCGGGCGAATTCACGTGTGCCAATCATAGATGCATCCCTATGGCTCAGGTAATATTTTATGATCCGCTGTGATATAACAACGAATAAATTAAACATTTTTAGGTATGTAACGGTGTCAACGACTGTAAAGATAATGTCACGTCAGACGAAACCCATGAACGCTGTCCGCAAAACACCACCTGTCCAGCTAATCATCTGAAATGTGAAAAAACAAACATCTGTGTCGAACCATATTGGTTGTGTGATGGTGACAACGACTGCGGAGATAATTCGGATGAAAATCCATTACACTGTGCCCAAAGGACTTGTCCTCAGAATAGTTTTAGATGTCCCAACCACCGTTGCATTCCCGCAACTTGGTTAGTTCACTTATTTCTTACCATTTACAAAAAATTAAACCGTTACCTTAAGATATCTTAATATATCTCCTTGACATATATTTTTCATCTCGTAAAATGTTAAAGGTATTGTGATGGTGACGATGATTGTGGAGATGCAGCCGATGAACCACCAGAATACTGCAAGAGTGAAGGACGTACATGTTTCGGGGATCTCTTCACCTGTGACAACGGCAATTGTGTTCCCAGAATTTACATTTGTGATGGAGACAATGATTGTTTAGACAACAGTGATGAAGACAGCAGGCACGAATGCAGTAAGTAATCTGATGATATGATTAAATAATGATAAAATGGTTTTAATACAACAATACATTTACAGACGATAGAAAATGTGATGAACAAAATGAGTTCACTTGTGAGGCAAATAAAGCCTGGGGTCGGGCACAATGCATTCCACGAAAGTGGTTGTGTGATGGTGATCCTGACTGTGTAGATGGTGCTGATGAAAATTCTACGCTGCACCACTGCACAACGCCTCAACCATGTAGTGAAGATCAATTCACTTGTGCGAATGGAAGATGTATCAATAAAGTATGTTGATTTACCAGTCTGTATTATTTTTAATTACAATTTTTAGGGTTGGTTGTGTGACCACGATAACGACTGCGGTGATGGAACCGATGAAGGAAAAGAATGTAATTCTAAGTACAAAACATGTTCCCCAAAAGAGTTTGCATGTCAAAATTTCAAATGTATACGCAGTCAGTATCGATGTGATGGCGAAGATGATTGTGGCGACCATTCTGATGAAGTTGACTGCAGTAATTTTACTCGAGACTTCCGTGAAATTTCGCTAGTAACCAACGCATGTTTCAGAAAAAGAAAACAACACTTGTGCCAACCCCTCTCAGTTTAGATGCAATAATGGCGATTGTATCGACTATCATTTAGTTTGTAACAAAGTATCTGACTGTGCCGATGACTCTGATGAACCCTTACATTGTAATGTTGACGAATGTGCCAAAGTTGAAATACATCAGTGCGGACATAAGTGTGTTGATACCTTGACCGGATACTACTGCGAATGTAATGCTGGATATAAGTAAGTAATGTCATGTAATGTAAAAAGAAAAGAAAATTGTTAATAATATCGAAAAAGTTATGGATAATATCTATTGAGATTATTTTACTATCTATTAACAACTCTTGCTATTCTAAACCCTCTAAAGATGGCTCCCGAATTAAGCCGAAATTTACTCCAGTAAAATTTTCTTTAAACTTTACTCTTAGTGTATACTTTTGTTAGATGTAAGCTATTTGCTTAACATAGCCTAAGATGTATTGAAAACAATAAATGCCATATTTCAGATTGCTTCAAGACGGTAAAGCTTGCACCGATGTGGATGAATGTGTGGAAACGCCAGGAGTTTGTTCACAATATTGTTCTAATACACCTGGAAGTTTTTATTGTAAATGCAATGAACAATATTACGAACGAGAACCAGATGAACACACTTGTAAACGTAAAGACCACGTTGAGCCTTGGATCATTTTTACAAACAAATATTACATACGGAACATGTCTGTTGATGCTTCCGTCTATAATTTGGTGCATCAAGATTTGATGAACGTTGTTGCACTAGACTATGATATGGGAGAACAAAAAATGTATTTCTGTGATGTCACAGCTAAAACCATATATAGGTCGCCGATAGGAGGTTCCGAAAAAGAGCCAGTAATAAGACATGATTCGCATGGTTTAGAAGGCATCTCTGTTGATTGGATAGGACGGAAACTTTATTGGTTGGATAGGCATTCGAAAAATCTAGATGTTGCAGAACTTGACGGAACTAATCGTAAAACACTCAAAACAAGCATTAACGATCCTAGGGCGTTGGTCGTTCATCCTGGAATAGGTTATTTATATTTTTCGTCTTGGCATTTACAAGCCTATATTGGAAAACTGGGTATGGATGGCTATAACTTCTCTACCATCCTAACCTGGGAAGATGACATTGCTTGGCCTAACGCGTTGACAATAGATTTCTTCACAGATCGATTATACTGGGCAGACGCACATTTAGATTACATTGCCATGTCTGATTTGGATGGCAAAAATAGACACGTCGTAATTTCTGGAAGTAGCGTACCACACGTCTTTGCTCTTTCACTTTTTGACGATTACATTTACTGGACTGACTGGAATTTGAAAGCAATCAGTAGGGCGAATAAGTTCGATGGCAAAAATTTGCAAATATTACGAAATACAACTCACAAACCATATGATATCCACATATTACATCCTCTAAGACAACTAGCTTATCCCAATCCGTGTGCCAATAATAATGGTGGTTGTTCCCATTTGTGCTTAATTGCTCCTCCAGTTATTTCAAGTTATTTAAATATTGAATATGGCGAAGAAGGAACAACTACTTACAAATGTGCCTGTCCAAATCAATTCTCTTTGGGAAAAGATGGAAAAACGTGTATTGCTAACTGCACAACTGGCCAGTGGCAATGTAAAGGCCATGACGAAAAATGCATACCTTGGTTCTGGCAGTAAGTATTGAAAAGTTATTAAAACATGTGACAACTTTATTATTGTGCTTTTTAGATGTGATGGAGAACGTGATTGCAAGGACGGATCAGACGAACCTCCAAGTTGTCCCGCAAGGCAATGTAGAGCTGGTACATTCCAGTGTAAGAATGGCAACTGCACGCCATCCGCAACAATTTGTGATGGAACTGATGATTGTGGTGACGGTTCTGATGAACAACAGTGCGATATGCCATGCCCAGAATTAGAATTTAAATGTCGATCTAATGGTCGCTGTATTTTGGATAGTTGGAAATGTGATGGAGATCCTGACTGTAAAGACGGTTCTGATGAAGATCCAAGTATATGTAATAAACGAGAATGCGATCCTGCAACACAGTTTACTTGTAAAAATGGCCGTTGTATTCCTAAACTCTGGATGTGTGACTTTGACAATGATTGCGGCGATGACTCTGACGAACCTGCTTACATGTGTCGACAAAAGAACTGTACTACAGGATGGCAAAGATGTCCAGGACGGAACAATTACAGGTAAAATTAGATAACAAAATAGAAATTACTAGAAAGAATACATTTTTGTGTACCATCACTTACGGAACAAAACTTTTCCACTCTCAAAATAGATTGAAATGATGGCTGGAATAAACAATTTAGATTTGATATTTCTCAGTTCTGTTTTTTAATCCTTATTCTCATAATGCTTTAACAAAAATTGATGAATTGTGCAATCTGGCCCACCACAATAGCTATATAGCTTAAATTTTCACCATACACAATATTCAGACATCTAATTGTCACGACTTTGTAACAAGTTTAATGGAACAATTGACGAGATGTTCCACCCAGTATCAATTGTTCAAGCATTAGAGAAAATATTCACTGTTTTACAGTTGCATTTTTTTAGTCAATATACATCTTTAAATGTGTTCATTTTATTTTATTATGAATTACCTACAGGTGTATCCCGAAATGGCTCTTCTGCGACGGAAAAGATGACTGTCGAGATAAATCTGATGAACTACCTGAAAACTGTCCACAGTGCAACTCTGAAACTGATTTCAAGTGTAATAATAATCGTTGCGTCCCTAATCAGTGGAAATGCGACTTTTCCGATGACTGCGGCGACGGTACGGACGAATCGGAAGAACTCTGTAAAGGAACCTATCGAGAATGTTCAGAATCAGAATTCAAATGTAATAATGGAAAATGTATATCATCACGATGGCGATGTGATCACGAAGATGACTGTGGTGATAATTCCGATGAAACTAGTTGTAAGGAATTTCAGTGCAAAAATGGAACATTCCAGTGTGCTTCTGGTCATTGTATCGCTTCATATTTCCGTTGCGATGGAGATCGCGACTGTCGGGACATGTCCGACGAGAAAAACTGTCCACCCAGATATCCGGGTGGAAGATACTGTCCGGAATCTAGATTCCAATGTGACAATCATCTATGTATAAACCAAGCTGACCTGTGCGACGGTGCAGACGACTGTGGAGATGGATCAGACGAAGCACCATCTCTATGTACTAACTTCAACTGCGATACTCTCAAAAGATTCCAGTGTGCCAATCACAAGTGTATTCCTCGCTATCAACTTTGCGACACAATTGACAATTGTGGAGATGGATCTGATGAAAATAACATGACTTTATGTGCCACTAAGATTAAACCGTGCAACGCATTAACAGAATATAAGTGTGCGAACAAGAAATGCATTGACAAAGCGCAGGTGTGCGACTTTGCAGATGACTGCGGAGACAGTTCAGACGAGTTGGGATGTCATCATAATAACGTTTGCACAGAAGCAAATAAAGGAGGTTGTGAACACCATTGTATGAACTTAACAGATGGTGGTTATATATGTGCTTGTTATTCTGGCTTTATCATATCGAAAGAAAACAGAAAAGTGTGTTTGGATGTTGATGAATGCTCAGCTGACCTTCATCATTGTTCGCAGATATGCACAAATTTGAATGGCAGTTACAGCTGTTCATGTCACGAAAACTTTAGACTTTCTGACGGCCTTTCCGGTGTATGTAAAGCAATAAAAAAAGAATTGGCAGTTTTATTTGCAAACGGACCGGAAATTCGATCTTACAGTTTAAAAGATAACGAAGAAACTGATATCATAAGTGAAGAGAAAAGAATCGAAGCCATTGATTATAACCCTAATACACAAATGATATTTTGGGCTGATAGTTACGATAAAACTATAAAACGTTCGTACATGATCAACGCAGTAAACGGGCAAGTTAAGGCAGGATATGCTCAAGATCTTAACATGAAGGGAAATGCAAAACCTACTGCTCTGGCTATCGATTGGGTAGGCGACAACCTTTACTGGACCGAAACAGACCGCGCTGGCTCCAAACCAAAAGGTAAAGTAATGGTGGCTAAAACAGATGGAAGATATCGTAGAGCACTTGTAAATGTCGGACTTGAAAGTCCGACATCGATTGTTGTGGATCCTCAGTTAGGCCGAATGTTCTGGAGCGACGCTGGTTCAGCGCCTAAAATCGAAATAGCCTGGATGGATGGTTCTAAAAGGAAACCTCTTATCATTGATGGTATAAGGCAGCCCACTGGTTTAGCCATCGACTATGCCATGGATCATGCACTCTATTGGGTTGACACAAAACTTAATAATATCGAGTCAATTAAATATGATGGCTCAAACAGAAAAACGATTTTACGAGGAGAATTACTTAAACATCCTATCTCGCTTGACGTGTTTGAGTCAGATTTGTTCTGGATAACGAGAGATACAGGAGAATTAATAAAACAAGATAAATTTGGACGAGGGGTTCCCGTCGTTGTTCAGAAGGACTTACTCAATCCTTCAGGTGTCAAAGGTATCATTCGTAATATACGTTTATTTAATAATTATTATTAAATAAAATTTTGTTCTGCAGTTTACCATGAATTACGGTATAACACATCCATCAACACTCCATGCCGCAATAACGATTGTTCACATTTGTGCCTGTTGGTTCCTGGTGGGCACAGATGTTCATGCCCCGATTCCTCGGTTCCATCCCACAGAGCAAAAGCTGAAATAAAGTGTGATGCTGCACAAGAAGGACCCAGACCTGATCCAAAAATATGCATGTGCCAAAATGGTGGCGTCTGTAGAGAAACCGACAGTAATGATCTTTTGTGTGAATGTCTACCAGACTTCCAAGGACAGTACTGTAACATTCAAGTTGCTCACAGTAAAGCGGAAGTTACATCTAGTACTGTAGCTATTGTGGTACCAATTGTCCTATTAATTCTTTTGGGCACTGCTGTTGGTGTTTGGTTTGTTCTACGAAAACGGCCCTTGTAAGTATAATTTTTGTTTTTTAATTATTAAAATAAAATCAATATTATAATTTTTAGTGGAAAAGGTACCGGACTGGGCAGCTTAGCGAGCAGTCAAAGTGTGTCGTTTAGACAAGGAACAAATGTTGAATTTGGTTCTAATACATTTAGCGCAAATGGTAGTGGAGGTAATCCAGAACCGCTTGATGTGGCCTACAGTTTAGATCCCATCAGCAACAAAAACAGAGATTTCCACAATCCGATGTATGATGCCGTCCAAAATAGTGGAGACTCTCTGGGAAATGGTAGTTCTGGTAAGCATTTTGATATATCCTTGTCCTGTGCTTTAGTATAACACGCAAAATTTCAGCTCTATACGAAGTCCCAGTGGACATCAAGGCGAAAAGTGACACATTCACAGAGCCTCCAAGTGCCGTTATAGCACCTTCAAGTGTAACGCACCGATCATCACCTCAAGTGCAAATGAGGCATCGTGAGTTAGATCCTGCTGCTGCAGATACAGGAAAGGACACACAAAAATTAGTAGAAGAAGACTGCTGATATAGGAATAATTGTTCGATTCCTTGGTTAGTGTTAGCATTAATTAAAAGGTAGTGAAAATTTTTAAACTAACATAAAAAACCTGTTTTGGTGGAACTCGTTAAGCGACGGTTACACTTATTTTTACACTGTTCGTACCGAAGAAAACAGATGTGAATATAGCATACTCTGTTCCGTTTTATCTACAAAAATGTTTATCTAAAACTATTTTTATACTGAGGTGTTGGTCAGTAATTACGATTTATATCACAACTGCGTTGGCTTGAATAAGTGATAATGTATGTTTAAAAAACGTGATAATTTTATGTAAATCAACAACAAAAGTGCCATTGACACCTTAAAAAAACAACATCGAGTGTTACGCCAACTCGTTAATTCTTCTGGTAATATTTTATGCAGAGTTATGCGCTTAATCAAACACGAATCTTCCATTTTATAATATAATTAAGTCTTTGTAAATAAAACCAATAAACTTATGAGTTGCTTGAATAAATTGTAATAAAAGAAACGAATACGTGATCTTTAAATATGTAATAACATGATAGACTGCTTGAATCACAATCCAGTATTTGCTACCAATTTTATACAATTGAAATTAGGAAGTTATTTCCACAGTTTTATCAGTTTTAACTTGAGACCGTCCAACCTTGGGTAATATTTATAATAAAACTAGCATAAAACACTTTGTTTAAAATTCATTTAAATTTTATTGAATTGTTATTTAATTCATATAATTTTATATATAAATTTTAATGTTAAGTTTTATCAGAATTAGCGTTGTTGTGAACATTATTAAATTATTGTTATCGAGATGTTAGGCATCTAGCCTTATCTTGAATCTAATAAGTCAATTTCGTCAAAAACAGTTATCGTACTTACACTAAATTTAATAATATTCACAATAAGTACTGAAGTTCCAATTTTCCTGTCTGTACATATTCATTATAAATAGTTCTGGGAGAAAAGATGTATGTTTTACAGTAATAAAAGGTTTGTTTATACTTCTCTACATTAATAACCCATACCTAGCGTTGTAATTATTATAGTACACGCAAGCATATCCATTATGAGATTAATTAAGAAGTTCATAGCCCATACATATGCAGACAATCTGTTCGCTAAAAAACTAAGTGTGGTGATTTGAAAATTTTTTCTCTCAAATAACTCAATTACTGCGCGAGGTTTCTCTCTTGTAACGAGCTTTACCTTTCTTTGCTCTAAAGGCCAAAAACTCGACCTTCGGGATGGCCCTTAAATGATCTAGTTACCACAACCATTTATACCTTTCGCTACTCACGAAGATGAAAATTTCAGACCATGGTGGTCATAGACTACTGTCCAGCCTCGGGCCCAATCAAATCACTTCAGTGGCAATTGAGATAGAATGTTGTACGCTTCCGTGCAAAGTGAGGAGTGCAGTTGCTGCAGTTTCATAATTTCTTTCAAGAATGACCACTTTGTTCATTTTTTTTCTGACTTATGGATAGACAAGGGAATTGTTGGTTGTGCTGATATATGTACTGCCTATGTGACCCGGCAGTGACAAAATTCTTGCAAATCATGGGGGCCGAATGACAGAAGGGAGTATGCGTCATTGAAAAAATATTAAAGAAATGCAGGCAAAAAAGCTCCACGCAAGAGCCATTTATGACCCTTTCGGTCATAGGGAGTACATAATACACCATTTCTCAACTACATTTTGTAACTATATACTTATTTTTTTAAACTTAACACAGTTAGGGCCAGAAAATTTTGGGCCTTCTTTCTGTCATTTTGAAAATTTTGATGTAGTCTGTGCCTTATTGCACGGTTTTTTATGTTATTTTGACGTTTGTCGTTCCATCACTTCCATCCAGTGACAAAATTAAAAAATTAGGTTACAGTACTTGAACATGTTTCACACTGTAACATTGTAATGACATTGACGTCTAAATATTTTAATAAAAAAAAGATCAAAAACAAAACAATATAATGTTTGGCATATTTGGATTAGATTTTATTAAAATGGCCTATATTTAACAATGCTACTACAAATATAGGTATAATATTCATTACTAGGTACACAAAGGTAGGTATCTGACCACATGTGAACACATTTTTTGTTTATAAACATAACTGCGGCCTCAAATTTACAAAAAAAAAAGATGAAAATCATCTACAACCAACCACTATATTATATAAAAACAAATTATGTATTTATGTAAATAACAATAACACAATTAACAACAATTTTGCATTTTGTCTTATTTTAATTTGTATAATTTAACTATACTTCTTTAGAAATTGTTCGTGAAATTCTTTAAATCTGTCCAACATTACTTTCAACTTTTCAGGCTGTGGCAAAATTGTGGTACGAAAATGATATGTTCCTGGTTTTTGACCAAAACCAGTTCCAGGAACTATACATATACCTGTATTTTCCAGTAACTCAAAAGCGTAAAATACGTCAGCTGCCTTGTTTTGTTTTTTCGCTTCCTCAATCGCTTTTGTAGGGAGTTTGATTTGTGGGAAGGCATACATAGCACCTTGTACTGGGTTGCAGCTAAATCCCTCAAAAGAATTAAAGGTGTCTGCAACCATTGTGGCTCTCAACTAAAAATTTATTTCATTACTTTTACTACTCCTATTTCATAACCTCGATTGGCATACTCTTAACGATTCAAGAACGGCTTTTTTCTCTGCTATATATTGCTCATAACTAGGTTCTCCTTCATGCGGTGGATTTACAATACAATCGAGAGTCGCCTGACCTAAAACTGTAGGACACAACATGGCGCTAATGGCTTTCAAATACATAGCTTTGACTTGTGGGCACATATTAATAACCTCTGCATAACCACCTCTAAGACCACATTCTCCCATGTAACCTTTCGAGCAAGACATAAAACTTGCCAATTCCATGTCGCTGTATGGTTTACCCATTTCAATCAAAACCTAAAAAAAAATTATGTGTATAAAACTGGTAGATGAAAAATAGTAAGCGTACGCACCTTTTTAAATGAATAGAACTTCGAGCCAGGGGCGTATATGTTGTCTTGATACACTTCATCAGCAAATAAGAACAATTTTTCCTTATAAGCAAATTTAATAATTTCTTCAATGTTTTCACGGGAAAGTACTTGTCCCGTTGGGTTACCTGGATTTATAACAACAAGAGCTCTTGGATATGATACTTTTTTCGCTTCATCAATAGATCGCTAGAATATATATTGACCAACAGTAAACACCCATGAAACACAAAAATCTTAATATAGTATAGATAATGTTAAGTAATCTTAGTAACGACGATGGTGGTAATGATAATATGTATATAGTAACAAAAAATAATTTAAAATTACTTTCGAACCCACTTTAAAATATGATTAGCTGCCACTGGCTCAGCCTATGATTGTAGGTATAGTTTTTTTTATATTCATGTTGATTTTAGTGTTTTAGTATGTATACTGGTAGCTTAGTTATGTTATGGTAAATCTTCTTTGGTAAATCTTTTCACGATTAAAGATGAATAAACAGATAAATAAATTCACAAGTGCCGATGATATGAATGCTATTCCAAAATTTAAAGAACCGGATCAAAATCTGTCGTTAAACTATAACTTATTTTTCAAAAAAAAAAAGAAGATTAAAATAATACCTGCAATTCGGATACGTCTAACCCCCAATCCTTAGACTCGTCCAAATAATAGCCAATTTGATCGATGTTAAATTCAGCTAGTGAAGCTGAATAAAGAGGGTACTGCGGGATAGGAATCATGACTCCTGGTTTTTTTCCAGAAACGTTACATATCAATAGTTTTAAAACATTCTTAATGGCGTCACTTGCACCTACGGACAAACCAACATTTTACAATAAAAATAAAAAACTAATAATAATAATACAGTACCTGCACTTAAAATAATATTCTGCCAATCACATGGAATTCCGCCGTCACGTCGTTCGATGTATTGTGCGACATGTTTGCGAATAATTTCAATTCCTGGGGAATCAGTATAAGAACCAACAGAGCCTCCTCTACATCCTGTCAAAATAGTTCTAGCTCTTTCTTTAATATCTGAAGGAAATTTTGGGTCATTAAGAAGTTCTGGGTAGCTAACAAGGGCCAAAACTTGACGAATGAAAGTGATAGGTACCTGCCCCATAGCGTGACAATCGCCTATGTTGGCTTTTATTACTTCAGGAAACGGCTTTTTCACGCCCTTAAACAAATTAACATTTGATGTATTTATTTGCTATAAAATGTACGTACGAATATAAGTTTCACCCAAGCGAAAAGACACAATCTGTAGACTTTTTAATAGTAGATTATACATGGAAGGAGAGAAATGCATGATTTTAAGAAAAAATGGCACTTCGCTCCTGAGGCGTATATACAATTTTTTGCACTCGCAGACACCTACACAGTCTTTCAACTGATAAAAGATGATATGATTAATATATAAAACACTATCATAACAACCTTTGTATTCTACTCGTATGTCATGACTACAAAAAAAAAATTGTAAACAATAACTGATTTTTTCGATCAAAATGCAAAACGAAGATCCGCAAGAAATTCGTGATGCTGCTGAAGCTGCTGTACTGAATTTGTTACCTCCTAAATTAAATTTGTTTATGTATGTCTCTCCCTAGGGAGTAAATATTCCATTTCTTTCCCTAGAGAGCAAATGTTCTATTTCTCTGCTCATTTTGCGGTCATAACTATAAACCGACTTCTACTCCCGCGAGTACAAAAAATATTTTTATTTACAATGATAATGATTATTTGGTTCTAGTTACTAATACCGTCTACACAGCTACTAGTGAGAAAAGCTTGATCCAGGTTATTTAGACCGAAGTTCCCTAATTTCCAAAGTACAATAAACCATATCCAACTTAGATAAATTATAAAACTTGATTTTCATTTTATAAGTTAAAATGAAAATAGTGTGGATTGTTGAACTGTGAACTACATATAAAGAAACATGCTATGTGTATGTTTCAAGTGAATTTTTTTACAAGAAAATTTTGTGAAGACTTCATCAACTTTTTAGACGTACACATATATCAGTTTGGAGTACAACACCGATAACAACAGTACTCTATTCCTAAAATTTTAGGGAAAATGAAATAAGCTGTTTTTGATATACTTATTCAATATGATAAATTGCGATATTTGTTAAGTTGTTCACCCCTGATAAGCATTTAAAAATGGAAATACATTTGCTAAACCTCTAAACCACAAATGTGATTCATAACATTTGTAAACAGATACATTTTTATTAGCAATTTAACCATGGAAGTAGGATGACAGAAGGGACCATCCTCATTTAATCAATGTTAAAGAAACATCGGCAAAGTAGCTTTACGCAAGAGCCATTTATGACCCTTTCCGTACTACATCGCTACACCGGCAGGTTCACAGCTAACAGATAGTAAAAAATTTGATCCTTACACATTCATAATCTTTACCAATAACACTGACTAAATACACATGTGTTTAATCAAAGTCATTAACTTGCTACAGGTTCAGTTTTATATCGTACGTCCAGCCAATGACCCAGTCGAAAGCGCGGTGTACCAGGCGCCTTTACATGCCATGTTCAATACGTTTGCAAGATATCAGAGCATTCGGTTTTACAGTTTGCAAGTTAAAAACACAATTTTGAGTTTTTTTTTTTAAATGTAATGTCTAGCGTAAAAAATAAAAGCAGATTCATACACCACAGATACGAGATTATTATTTTATCAAATTTAAATTGAATTTATTTAGCAACATTTCAAGATGACGTTATCGATGGCGATCAGGTTAGGGTTTTACCATGTGCACGATATTCCCAAAACACGTATAAAATTTTACACAACAGTTGGTCCACTAGTTAGAGATACCTGAAAAAATCGACAACAGACTACAGATGACAGGCAGACGTAAATGAGAGGTTCATTTCTAGTTCCCGAGCGTAAGCTAAGGAAATATTGTAATCGAGTCCATCGGACGACTGGTTGCTTTCATATTTTCTCAATGGGTCATGGCTTCTACAGAAAAAATGAGTCTCCCGTTGCCGTCCGTCTTTCTGTCTGTCCGCTGTCCGTAACGGTTTTTGTTACACAGATAATCTCCGAAATTACTGGACCAATTGTTGTCAAATTTTATGTGTATTATGAATATCTTGTAGATGGTAAAACGCTGACCAAACGTTACCCATAATGTGATGACGTCACCTCAAAACTGTACATAGTAAACGGATTTTAAATTGCATGAAATGAAATGGTCCTACACGTGTAGTTTATGGATCCGTGTCGAGTTTCTACCTGAAACATCCAGATTTTTTGGGAAAAATTAAAATTATAAAACATTTTGCAATTTAATTTTGAATATCCAAAACAGAATGTTTTGAACTTTTGCAGATGTTTTATTAAAGTTATAAGCATGGTAAATTTTTGTTATCAAAATTTATTTGCTTAGTCCCTCAAAAAAATTGATGAAGCCTTCTCAAAATTTTGCCGAATAAATTCTAGGAATATATTTTAAACATTTATTACGGTAAATTTCGGTATTTATAGCCACTTTCGTCAAAATGCAACTGATTGCTTCCCAAAAGAAAAAATTGCTTAGGTACATACCAGAACTTTCTCGTCAAATTTCCCCATAGTGAAAAAAATGATTTATAAAATTTAAAAAAAAAACTTACTAATATAAATTTTAGAGAAAACGTCATCCCATTGGTGGGGGGGAGTGGGGGGGATGATGATATTAATTATATGTATATATCCATATAATACTCGCCTCTAAAGTACAGTCGAACAAATACAGATTCTTCGAGAATTTATAAAATGGTGATTTTTGGTTTTTAATGCAACTCCCCTAGGTTAAAATAAAGACATGTGTAGATTGTTAAACTACAGATAAAGAAACATGCTATGCGTATGTTTTTCCATAATAAAATTTTATGATGGCGTCATCAATATTTTAGCAAGAGCATGTACCTATATTTACTTGCATAGGTATGGTGTAATACTAATAATAACAGCAGTATTCCTCAAATTTTCGGAAAAATGAGGTCTTGATTTGATCGATAAATCAATTCATTAATTTTTTTGAGTCACCTGTATATGAAATTCTAAAAATTATGAAGGTTATTATATGTAAAGAATGTTTTACAACTAATGACAATGACATGAAAAGTGTGCGGTTTTTCTTGAGCAGAAAAGTGCAAGTTATGCCTATTTACAGCACCATTGTTACTAAATTTTGCTTCATCACTAAATAAGTATAATTTTGCACAAATTTGGGACTTTCCGCAACTGATTGCTACTAAAGTTACAAAAGTTTTAGCTTTCGCAAATGCTCAGTAGGTTTGTTTGAGATCATGCACCATTTGAATGTGGTAAGGACGGAATTTACTCATTTTTAAATTATGCAAGTTGAACATTGGTTAATACCTATGGTATTTCTCTCGCTACTGCTTTTTGCCTTATATGAGAATTTTCAACAATTTGTTGGATAACGCGGATTTCGTTTTTCAGATTTATTGCAGTTTGTTGTTGTCTTTTTTTATTCCGGGATCAATTTTTTCGTAAAGAATCTTCAAGTCTTTTGAAAATTCTGTGAGATAAGCGCTAAGAATGTCTTCTTCCTGTGCCGCAGCTTTAGCGTTCTTACGACACTCGCCATATACAAATAGCTTCACGGTAACATTTCTGTTTGAACCAAATTATTTTTAATTATTTTAAAAATATTTATTAAAAGCCAGAGTAACTGCAATCAGTATTTTGTGTTGGCGCTCTAAAAGTCTCAGATGGGTCATCTTAGCCGAATAACCCTGTATAAAAATCATATTCCATGAATACCTCTACACATATTTACTTACCTGTGTTAGGAAGATACGATAGTTCAATTTTTGGTTTAAGAGTTGCTACCTGCGCGGTGTTACACTTTTCAGAGATATCAAAATCTCATTTGCGGCACACAAAAATTAACCCTTAAAAGATCTTAAATTGGTTAAGATTCGTTACAACGATCATCGTGCTTTCCCTGCCTTTTCTCAAACCAAGGTAATTCCTAAATTCTATACCAACAGCGTTAAGACTTTGATGGCTTTGAAATGACTGAAGTTGTTAATATCAAACACAGCTAAGAATCATTACCATTAAACTTGCTTTGAAACAAAAAAATGCACTGAAATTGGTTCATCCGTTTGGGACCCACAGTGCCACAGAAAGACAGATAGATAGATAGACAGACACTGAGAGATCTATTAAACAGACAGATAAACCGACAAAACTTCAGTTACGTAACATCTCTCCTTTTGCGTTGACGGTTAATAAAATGAACTTTGTCATTGATTTCTGGTATGACGGCAGTTTTGGACCTCTAGAACCTCGTACGTCTTCAACGGATGTTCTCCTGCGCTTGAACTCATTAACCCAAAGAGCAATAACTTCATAAGAATATGAATCCCCCCAATATATGAAAAATCTTCCAAAAAAAAAAAACTGAATCACACTAAGAAGAATTACACAATTAACAATTTTTAAAAATCATTCGACAAATACGTTTTTTACATCTATGGGAATCCTTTTGCAAAGTGTTTGATCACACCGAAGGCTAGACAACCCGTTTGGAAGCTGTAGACTGCAGTTTTGATCTTGTTGGATCTCATCAGTACATCCCATCCCATCGAGTTGTCTAGCATTCATTGTGTTTCGCTTATGTGCTTAAGCTTAGTAACCAGGTTTGAGTGAGATGTTTTAGTGTGGCGACCTATGTGTTTACTCCCACTTGCCGAAAGATCGTACTTTCGCGGACACAGAGAACATATTTAAGTACACAATTTACGAATAAGTTTAGTGTTTTCAGACAAATGTTCACAGCCTTTCCAATAACATTGAAAAACTGCTGTTATTTCTTAACAAATTTCACTGTGACATATTATTGTGTATCTCAGAGCATCGTCTGCCACAAGATGAATTTCAAACACTTTTAATATAAAAACTTACAAGTTAATATCCGTTTTCTGTCGAGATCAAATGATGCACGGTGGACTAGCGATCTATGTAAAATATAACGTAAATAATGTAAAAGCGGTTACAAGTGTAATAGAAGTATTAAAAAGCCTTCAGTCCAGGGTATCGTAGAACGTAGAGTGTTGTACTGTTGAGATATTAAAATGTAAGTTGATGATTATCTCAATTTATCGTCCACATTTAAATAATGTTG